GGTTATTCATCTTGCAAGATAGTATTCATTAATACAGTTCTGTTTATATTGTAATTACCAATAGGCAATTAGATTTTTTGTTTTAATAGCTTTATATTTTTAGGCAGTTTCTTCAGTGCTTAGTGGAGCTTTTAATACATACAGGTAAAGCTTTGGTGGGAGAGCTTTTACAATCACTAATGGTAGAACAGATCTATGCAAAATGAGAAACAATTGCACTGTTCTTTTCTGTAAAAATGCTTGAACTATATTGAACAAGACCGTAAAAGAATGAAGTTTGTCTTGCTTCCATATGTAGTACTTTGGCCTGCAGGGGGAGCTCTTAAATAGAAGAAATGTCTTGGCTATTATTTTCAAAAGATGATTAAATCCAGCACCTACTAATGTATTTATATTTAGAAATAAATATTTGGAAGGAATGAGTATTAGAATACTTTGGTTATGGACATCTAACCTTTTGACAGACTGTTTAGCCCTTCAAAAACAAATACTGCAAAGTCTACATTTGAGGTAAGTTAAAGGTGTAAGCTATGAGTCTGGCTGCTACTAATTTTCTTTTTCTTATTTTCCTTCTTCCTTGGTACTCTACTCTTTTCCTACTCCCTTTCTATAAAGAATTTCTGATTATAAGTGGAAAGCATGCTTGTTGGCTGCAGTGTTCTGATGAATTGCTGGGTATTTCAAATCTTGTACTAGAGTTTTCATTGGAACCTATTACCAAGAAAGGCTGGGTTCTCCCACACTGGAGACATTCAAGGTACAGCTAGATAGCTATTTGTTAGGGATGCTTTAAGCAGGGAGTTGGATCTGATTGCCTTATTGGCCCCTCCCTACCCTACTATTCTATGACTGACAAGAATATCGTGTGAGTTCTATTACCCTGACTGGAATAAATTCATTTACTAAGAAGTAAGCCCTATCGAACATGGTTGGAGTTATTTCAAGAAACATGCATAAAATTGAACTGTAAATGATCAAAGTATGATTTTCTGAAGTAGAAATGCTATTCCTTTCCCTGTCCTCCTCAGGATGTGTAATGGAGAAAGGGATGAAGTTTTATTTATTTGGTGGGATTGCAATGTAGAAGAATTATCATTTGAACAAATAGCTGTGTTTGTTCTGTTGAAAGTAGTGGTGGAAATAGAGTGAAACAGTCATCTAAAAATTAGTCTGCTTTAATATAAAACTGTTATTTTTCATGATAGAGGGGGACAATTGCACAGTTCTATGAACTTATTTCCATCTTGAATACTTCACACATTTAATTAACTTAGTATATGATGTGATGGTTGAAGATTTCTTCCTGCTGAAATATGTTTAATAATATAATTAGTTATTGAACAACAGAGAATAACCTTTAATTGTTGTTACGAATGGATAGTATGCTTGTAATTAAGAAGGTTATTGTTAGTGTTAGAATCATTGATTGATCTTGCTCCTGGCAATCCATTGTTTTGTGAAGAGCTTTACTGGTTGCAGTTGAGTATATTTAATGTTATAGAATACATAACTTAAGCTTAGTTATGATATAAACATAAATTGTGCTTGTACATATGGCAGCTCTGAATGTTTCTTAGTGATTAAGGGTAAGACCAATACCATTTACATGAAAATATGCCTGACTGTGTTAATTCAAGTATGTATGAATTAAGTCTGAACTGACATGTATCGGATTGTATGTAAGTGCCAGAATTTCCCAAAGGGTTTCCTCAAAGTGACTGGGCAGAGAAATATTTTTCAAGAGAGAGGAAATTGAACGTTTGTCTTGGTTGGAAAGCAGACTGTTCTATATATTAACTAATGAGGAGCTTGTCCTTTGGGACTCTAGTTGTACACCATCTCTTTCCTTGAAAACTGATCAATCCCACTTGTGGAAAATAAGCTGTGCGAAGGAGGGAATCCTCTTTCCCCTAGTATGGCTATTTTAATGGCCAGTGACCCACAGATGAATTCAAAGGAAATGGGCTTGTGGTCAGTAGGTGACAGATAATTATGTAAGGGAGGAATTTTAATGAATGTTTATGTCTGTTCTTAGATAAATCAGTGCTCTGAGACTTCTTGCCTTACCCTCTGAAACAGTGATTGCAGTAACTGTTGCTTACTGAAGCTATTCTTGAAGCAAATACAGTCCCCTTAAAGAACAGGAGGAATTCGCCATGAAAGGAAGCATGTTTCTGCATGTCTTTCATACAAATTGTATTGCAGATTGCAGCCTACTGGCTTCCAGAAAATTTAATTGGTGTCATGGAACACCAAAGCAGTTGCTATCTGTGTAGCCCAGCTCTTTGTAATCTAAGAGATTATGCTGAAGTATTTGCCTACATAAGAAATAGAAGATTTGAATATTTAAAACCTTTAAAAAATTGTGGCACTTCTAAAATTGCTATTCATACAAGAAGCTACTTTGGGAGTATGACAGCCCCTATGCACCCCCTTTATTTACCTCATTAAAATTAGAGATGAAACTGGTGCTTGTAGCAGAATGTGAGGTCCAGTTCCAACAAGTAGAGTCTAATAATACAGACTGCACTTTGATAAGCTAAGAAACAGTTTCATGCTTGTTAATGTCACTGTCTGACTTAAGGTGACTTTTTGTAACCAATGTCCATTGAAAAGAAAACAGAGTGGATTGTTATATTTAAAACTTTAGCTTACTATCAGTTTATCTGTTCAATATAAACTAGAAATCTCATAACCAGAATGGATTGATTTTAAATATCTATTAACAATTTTAAATAGTTTTCTACTAGTAATTCATATTTCTTGAGGAAACATATTGGTTGAGTTCAGTGGGGCTTATTTCTGAGTAAATAAGAAATAATGTTCTGGGGGATTATTTGGCTTATATGATTGCTGCTCCTGTCGAACCCTAAGTTCCCTTGTGGAATAGAGAGGCAGCTCAGGCAGTTGACATGATTGCACCTAAGTGCCTTCTCTGTCTCCACCAAGACCGGCCAGTTCCTTGATACACACTATAACTTACAGCACTGAAGTGAGAAGAAATATGACTAGAGTGCAGATGGAGGAAATCTAATGATGAATCATACTGAATGTGGCTTAGAGCTCATTATTGAGCTTATTCTGTGGCAAAGAGGAGGGCAGAATGGAAGTATATTGCCTCTTCTTTTCCTTTTTCACAGTGCCATTCTACTGAGCTCCTCTGACTGGTTTGAAGACTGTTACATTGAACCCTCAATAGCTTGTTGTGATGAATTTGCCTCAGACTTTGAAGATAAAATCTTTCAGGTCCATTGTGTACTGGACTCCTCCGTTAAGTTAGATCCTTCAAGGGATGTATCCAGTTTAATTGGTAAAGCTAAGGAGGAGGTTTGTACCTGGGTCCAGCAGGCTGCCAATGCCTTGTTAAGAGAGGGAGTAGTCCCAGCCTTCTTGAAGGAGGCTGTGATAAGAACACACAGAGATTGTTACTAGCTACAGAGGCAAACCTCCCCGTTTTGGGCAAGGTGTTAGAGAGGGTGGTAACCAAACAGTTCCAGACACTTTTGAAGGAAACAGATTATTTGGATCCATTTCAGTTGCGTTTCAAGCTGGGTTTTAGATGGAGACAGCCTTGGTTATCCTTTGGGATGACCTTTTCCTGAGAGAGATAGGGGGAATATGACCCTGTTGGTCCTCCTGGACCTTTCAGAGGCTTTTGCCCCCATCAACTATGGTGTCCTTTTGGACAGATTGCTGAGTTGGGGATTGGAGGCACTGCTGTGTGAGTGACCGGATCCAGAAGGTGGTGCTGGGGGTTAGTTGCTCTGCATCATGGCTGTTATGCCATGAGGTTGCTCAGGCCTCCATATTATCCCTCAAGCTTTTCAACATCTGCATGAAACTGCTGGGAGCAGTCATTTGGAGGCTTGGGCTAAGATCTTAGCAATATGCTGCTGATACTCAGCTCTGTCTCTCCTTTACATCAAATCCAGGTGAGGCGGCATCCATCCTGACTGCTGCCTTAGCTCAGTAGTCTATTGGATGAGAGCCAACGAACTGAAGCTCAATCCAGACAAGACGGAAGTCCAGTTAGTGGGTAGTTGGTCAGATAAGTTGAAAGGCCTATACCCTGTCCTGGACAGGGTTGTACTCCCCCTAAAGGACAGCATTCACAGCTTGCAGGTGCTCTTGGATCCAAAAGTATCACTCGATGAAGTAGACTTGATGGCCTGGAGCAACTTTCTTCAGCCAAGGCTAATATCTTGACAAAGTTTAGCCACAGTCATGTATGCCCTGGTAACTTCCTGGTTGAATTATTGTAATGTACTCTGTGTGGGGCTGCCCTTGATGGTCTGGATGCTCCAACTGGTTCAAAATAAGACCTGACGACTTTTAACAAGAACTAGTTCATGGGCCCATATTAACACCAGTTTTATATCATCTACACTGGCTACCAGTAGAAGTCTGGGCTCAATTTTTAAAGTGCTGGTTCTTACATATAAAGCTTTAAATGACTGGATACCTGAAGGACTACCTTCTCCCATATGTCCCTACCTGTCTATTAGGATCAGGTCAAGAGGTCCTTCTCAAGGAGCCATCTCCCAGGAAGAGGAAAGGGATGGCAGCCAGAAGAAGGGTCTTCTCTGTGGTTGTACCCCATCTCTGGAATAGGGTGTTCAGAGAGGTGTACCTGGTGCCATCATTGTTATCATTTCAGTGCCAGAAGAAGGCATATCTTTTCTTTGGCTATTTTAATGGTTGATGTTAGTAGTAATCTTGAATTTAACCTGACCCTATTCCTGACTTAACGTTTTATGTTAATTTAAAATAGTTTTTAAAAAAATTTATGTAATGATTTTAAATTGTGAATAGTTGGTTGCTATTGTTAATGCAGATTGTAAAATGTTGTATTATTTGAAATGTTTATAACCTGCTCAGAGAGCCCAAGTGTGGACTAATGCAGTGCATATAAATGGAATAAATAGATACATGTGTATAATATTGCACTGTTAAATACTTAGAAAATTTGGTGTACTCAGATGCTTTTTTCTGTTTTTCAGGTTAACAGCTGAGGTACTGATAGAGTTCTGCTCTTCTTCAATGAGGAACTACAGGCTGATCTTCTGCCATAACCTCAAGCAACCATAAATGACAAAAGAATGCTTGGTCAGTGAGGGTAGCTGGCGTAGAAAATATTTTGTGAACATAGGTGTTTAAGTGCTCTGAGGTAGGTTATTCTACAATTTTGTGAAATATGTTAAGGACTGCAAGCATGGATATTCTGAGTGCTTTTTCCAATTCTGTGACTTCAGTTTGATTAAAAAGCATATGTTGAATAGAAGATAAATTGCATTCTAGTGTACACTTGGAAAATATGCTTAACCCAGCACTTAGTTAAGGTGTCCTTATTAAGCCACAGGGATTTTCCTTTTTTCCCTAAGTAGGAACATATCACAATTAATCCATATAGAAATTAGTGATTTTTATAAGGATCATAATAACAAATTAGATACTGCTGTGAACTTTAGCACAGAACCTCTGGATGTGACAAGTCCAATTGTTTTCCTAGTAATGCCAGTGGCTATCATTAACAGTTGTGTAATTTTTAGCATTGAATGAACTGGGTATTATGTTGTTATGCTGGAAAAACCTCATTTTAAAAATTTCTGGTGGAATTTATCATTGGACATGTGATTTCTGATAAGCTTTAGTCATCAAGTAATGAATGTAGGAATTAGTACTTAGTGTTGAAGGAACTGAATCTAGGACAACTTTATTTTACAGAAAGACAGCTTTGATATTGGCTGCATAAAGATATGAGGAAGAGCTCCTCCCCTTCTTTGAGTAACTGCAACTCTGTTCTTACTAACAAAATATTTGGAATTCCACTCGATGAACTGCAGCAGGAAGGACAGCCAGGCAGTGAAGTTCCATTGGTAGTCCGCCATGTCGTGGACTATATTGAGGAACATGGTATGTATTTTCATCCTATGCCTTAGCCATAACCTTACATATTGAAAAGATCAATAGTTTTCACTTGTGATATCATCTTGCGTTTATGTATGTTGATTTTTTTCATTATGCATTATTAAAGTGAAAGCTATTTTACACTCTTCTGTAGCCCTCGTATGGTCATGAAGGAACACATTCTCATTGACAAAAAAGTGCTTCCAGGGGTGTCATCTCTTACCATGCTTTTGTTTGGTGGGGCATTCATATGTCTCATAAGAAATGAGGTAAGAATGAAGCTCTGTAGAAATAAATGTGGACATTAATCTAGGGCTGGTGGTTGGGTGGTGGCAGAAAACATTCCAATGTTCCTAATAGCAATTGGCACCTTGGTTAATACTCCTGACTGTGCTGTATTGTGTTACGTTGCACCAAATCTATGATATTCCAAAAGTAAACGATCAGGCATACATAGGGATATTATCTATCTTAGAGAGAATAATGTTATAACTGGGAGTGGGAGCACAATAATTTTAATTTTTCCTTTATTGAAATATACCTGTTTTCCATTTTTGTCACAGAATCATGCATGTGCACATGATAGAAAGTTTGACTGGGAAGTTTTTGCTTAAAATTAAGAGTACTGAATTCTGGTTTTTTTTCCCATTCTGTCTTTAGGAGGTCTAGAACAAGAAGGACTTTTTCAGGTCAATGGGAATGCAGAAACAGTGGAGTGGCTTCGGCAAAGATATGATAATGGAGAAGATGTGGATCTGGTTAAAGAAGCAGATGTACCTTCAGCTATTAGTCTTCTTAGATTTTTTCTTCAAGCACTTCCAGAACCAGTTATCCCTGGTACTCTACATATGCATTTGACACAACTTTGTCAAGGTATTAGAATAATTTTAATATAGGTTAAATATTAAATAATCAGATGAACAATTTAATGCCCATTGATTTTTCTTCTTTCATATTTCACATGTGATATGGTGTGGACAACTCTAGAAACTGCCTTCTTTTGGTGGAGTAGGACCAGCCCACCAACATGCACTTTTCCTGCTTTTGGTCCTAGCAGCTATCCATGTATGAACTAAACACTTTCCAGGCCCAACAATGTAATCCACCATCTATGTAGCTGATTCCTGGATTTTATGTAGGCCATTGTCCATGTGGTTTGGGCTTCCTTGTGTTGATCTTAAATATTCATTAGGCACAGGAAGATGTTACAACCTCATGTGGGTAAGTAATGGGTCTGAAGGTCAGAGAGTAAGTGAGGTTGATGGATTTTTTTCTTCAGTTACTCATAGCCTCTGTGTTCAAAGTGGTCCTTCTGTCATTTGCACAAAATGTAATTCCTGAATTCTGCAAGAACTTACTTACAGTCTAAGGAAAAGATGCTTTCTCTTAAACTAATTGTGTAAAGCACAGTTTTTAGTAGCTTTTCCTCCTCACTAGTGTCCAAGAATTTGGGAACTATAGTAACCAAAAAGCCGGTCCATTGTTCTTTCATACAGTTAATGCCAAGAGTACTGAATCAAATCAATGTGAAGAATATCCTTGAATTCTTTTCACTGCCAGTCTAATGAAATGACTGTTCCCCATACATATGTATTGTAGGGCTTCAAAGAAATTTAGATCTGCTGCAACTTTGATTTCACAATTTCAGTTAAACTGTTTTTCTAAACCTATAGTTGGTATGCTGCTCCTAAAATTATATTTTCTAGAATGCAGTTGGTTGGTATTCACAATAATACGTTGTTTGAGATTTAATATTCTGTCCCTATATATTCACAATCCTGCAGTTTCCTTGGGCAGAGGAAAATCTTCATCTAGATTTAAAAATGGAAACAAATAACTAATATAGAGGTTTCAGGCCTTATGTTACATGATCCCTGTGGCCTGTACCAATTAAATTTCTAGTGATTATATTTTGGGACAACTGTAGTTTTAGAAAAGAAACCCCACATATAATGCATTACAGTAATCCAAGCTATAGTTTAGTCAAGTCATACCCCTGAATGACATTAGTAGCCATCAAGAAGAAGACACACCAAAAAAGTATTCTTTGCCGAATCCACCACCTAAAAGTTGGGAACTTTCAAGTGGCAAACTTCCTTTAGAGGGAATATATACCATCCAAAGTTCATTCACCAGCTCCCAAATCTAAGTCATTTACTGCTGACATTTCCATCTTGTTTGGATTGACCTCTAGTTTATTTATTGGTATTCTTTTATATATTGATGACTCCGAACTTTAATCTTATGACTTGCCAAACTATTTCATGTAAATGTTAACTAGTAAAGGGATTCTGGATTAAGTCCTATGGCAATCCAGTTTTAGCAAGTGTGAAAGTAACAAATAAATCCCAATGGGCCAGAACACATTTCTCTACACAATATCCAAAAGGATACTGAAGAGGTAGGAATCAATTTCAGTTTATTATAATTCTAGAAGTTGGCTCAGAAGGACACAGGAAAAATTCCTCTCTTTGAACCTAGATGAGGATAATCTACTTGCACAATCAAAGCAGATTTTGTCCAAAAATCAGGCCCAAGCCAGATTGATGTTAAAATTGAGCCAAATTTAGTCAGAGGCATCTAACATTCAGTGCTGGCCCAGAATATTTTGTTTTATCACTGTGCCTGGAAATGTTTGAGAATTGATTTTCTTATCTACAAAAGTTATAGCCTCTATACTTCATTTTCCTAACGGGGGTAAACAAACTACCTTTAATTAGTTTAAAATACTCAAGGCATTTTAGTTGAATTTTTAAAGTAAGGTCTGAAATGTGGTGAATACATCTTAAGGGGTCCCATAATAACTTTTCTTTTATAACTTCTTTTATATCGTTTATATTTTTATTTATTTTATATTATTTATTTTAATTTTATATTGTTATTTTTATATTGTATTTTATTGTGTTGTAAGCCGCCCCGAGGCTTCGGCAAGGGGCGGCATAGAAATGTTCTAATAATAATAATAATAATTATAATAAGCAGCTAGCTGGGTGTTTATGGATCATTATACTTTGCTTTATTAGCTTAGAACCTCATTCAGAATTCCCAAATGAGTCCTTTGTATATTTCAAAGTACTTCACTTTGTGTGGGGAGCATCATTAGGGGGCTGTTAGAATGGCCCTTTCTGTCTACATTTTTAAAAATAACTTTTTAGATGGTTATCCCATGATAAGTTCTTTGAGCATGTGTAGATTGTTTTTCTTTATGACAATATAATTGAAACAAAAGGCTGACCCATATTGCTTATCTAAAAACCTTTATTGCCTGAGAAATTTGGAGTTTCTTCCTAGTGCAATTGTATTCTTGCTTTCAAAGTCAATATGATACAATTTTAGCATGTGTCCTGCCAAAGAAAATGGCAGTTTTTAGACCAGATTCTCTGCTCTAATTATGATGCTCTGGGTTTGAGTAACAAAATATTGTTTACTAATATTTTTGCCTGTTATCTGCTTTGTCAAACAGGTGTTGAGCCAGCTAACTAACAGGAAATAAATATTTTATGCTTAAAAATAATAAACTGCTAGATTGAAATAGCAATATCAGAAGTTAATTCTATAAACAGGATGGCTGCATATCTAAGGGGCTGTAAAGTTTGAATGTTATATGCTTATCCAAATAAAAGAAATATTTCAGTCTTGATGGGTAGTATGGAGAGCAGAGTCTTGCTTCATGAATTGACAAATCAGAATATACTCAAAGTGGGTAAGGGCAGTGCAGAGATAAATAAAAGCGTTTGCTGAAAGTGGGAAGGCAGAAAGTATGGATTGCGAGGAAAAAGGGTGTTTTGTATGAAAGTTCTGAAGTATTGTTCAGATAAGGAAATATTTAAGAACAAAAAATATAAAGAATATCTCCAGGTTTCACATGATTTTTTAAAAGAACCTCTATACCGGTTATGTTAGAATTGCTGAAATGAAATGTTTCAGATATTGAAGGATATTTAAAAATTGATCAGTGATTTTCCTGTCACACTTTCAGATTATAACGAAGATGAATTTGGAAGAAAGTTGAGGTTCCTCTTGCAACAGATTCCACCTCTTAATTACAGCTTGTTAAAGTTTCTGTGTAGATTTTTAGTTAATGTAGCAGCTCATCATGAAGAAATTTGGTCTGCAAGTTCTTTGGCTGCAGTTTTTGGTCCTGATGTCTTTCAGTAAGTTAAGAGACTGCAAACATTTGTTCCTACTTTTAATGTGACTTTATATTTGCATTTACTTGCATTGACTTTTTCCTGCACTGTTTATCAGTTAAACCATCTAATTTCATTAAATTTGTTTTCTGTGCATACAGTATTTTTATTGCTACTCAAGTTGCTACAACAGCCAAAAAATTTAAGCCAAAGGAGCATATTTTGTATATATTCCCAAATTTAAGTTTTTAAACTAAAAAATATGTTTGTTCTGATAACAGCAGCTTGTTTGAATTTCAGCTCCTTTTAATTAATTTATTACTGATCATGGCCTTGTATCTATTAAAATAGTAGATTATGTATGAAGGTGTAATAAAAGTTTTTTTTTTTTTTACATTTAAATTCATTAGAATTTAATGTACTGTGGATCCTGTACCAAGATAACTGTGTTCACTGAAATGCTTCCTTATTCCTATTGGGCCTAGCATAATTTGTACATCAAAGTGTAGTTCCTCACATTGCATTGGTTGCTCTGGATTTTAACAAATCTGCTCACCAAGGCAAGGAGGGTGCCTATGATCCTCCAATGAGCATGTTCAGTAGTTAGACTTCCTCGCAACTTTGAAGCTGCAGAGGTACGTGGATGGATATGATTTAGACAATTGGCCAATAATCTCTGTGAACTCCCTGGATTAGAGGAAGGCTGACAATGGTTTGGCGGCTATCTAGTTGAGGGTCCGAAAACATCTTGGCTATGCAGGGCAAAAACAACTTGCCTTTTCCACTCTGCAACTGGGGAAGCACTGGACATGGTTTTGTAAAATGCATATAATACCTTCAAGAGGAAACATCCAACAGCAAACTCTTCCTTTATGGCCCATCATGAGGGAAAGACTGGGGGCAGACATTAAGAGTCTTCAGAAAGAAGTCTAATAGCACATAGCCCTCATCTGACCTTTTTGTTAGGAAATGCCAGCAGTTCAGCAGGTGTAAATGGACTGGCGGCTATGATTTTTGGCTAGCCTAGCCAGCCAAACCAGGCAGTATAGAGCATCATAGAAGTTGCTCTTGAAGACCCCCAACCTGGAAGCACAGAGGCTTGTATAATGGAAATTGGGCTTGGAATTTTTAGAGTATTCAGGCAGCTCGTCACTGAGGATCTCCCTCATATCCCTGAAAAAGGCAAATATTTATATTATTGTATTGATGGTATTTATGTTTGTAAGCCGCCCCGAGGCGTATGCGAAGGGGGCGGCATATAAGTTTGCGAAATAAATAAACACAATATTAATAACCTTTGGGAATCAGTTTTAGGTACCATAAATTTAGTTTTGGCCATTTTTCTTAGCATTTACACAGATGTGGAAGATCTGAAAGAGCAAGAACTAGTTAGCAGAATAATGGTGGGACTGCTAGAGAATTATGATGAACTCTTTGAAAACGAAGAGGAAGATTTCTCATCTAATGATTTAAGTTCGATAACTGAGCAGGTAATTTTCCAATACACTTTTGTTTGATAATTTGTAATAAGTAAAAGAGTTCTGGCCATGTATCATGGTAGACATGACTTACTAACTTAGCTTTTATTCATGGTTGCTCCCAACCCCCTTCCCTCTCCCAATTCCTGTTATATATGCAGAGGAAGAAGTGGGTAATTAACCATAAAAGAATTCTGCTATTTCTTTAAATTTTCCAATCCTCTGTACAAATTAGAGTTTTGAGTGCTAGTCACTTGATTCTGTCAAATAAAGACAAATGAATTCCTGATTATTGAATATAGTTTTCAGATTGGAGATAAGAAGCGGGGGGGGGGGGTCCTCCCTCAGGGGACTTCTCTAGGAGGCCATGCCTCCTGGAGAGCGACCTTAGAAGTTTTATTTATTTACTTCTGTACCACTCAACAGCGGAAGCATTCTAGGTGGTTTACTGGCCTGAAGCTGAGTGGTGCAGATTAGGCCCTCAGGCAAGAGTTTTTGCACACATGCTGAACAATCTCAGTGGGTAACCATTCTAGCTAAGAGGGCCAGTGGATTAGGTATTCAGTGGGCTAGTGATATGACTCTTGTGAAAAATATTGGTTTAAAAAGGATTTTTAGTAGATTTTTTTTCTGTATTGGGGTTAAAGCCTAAGTTACTTATAGCTCATTGTTTATACAGCTAAAGTTGTTTGTTTGTAGAGCTTACTTTCCTCTTTGGATTTAATAAACTGCCTGTATGGGAAAGCTTGATCTTTCTGTTGTGTTTGTGGGATTTTAAAGATAAATGATCTGTTGGATGAAGATGATATAAAGCTTGAGCAGTCTGAAGAACTGCCAGAAGAAGAAGAAAACATGGAGGACGCAGAATATAGGCAAGATATGGAGCCTCAAGATATGGTGGAGAGCATCTTGGAGTCATGTAATGTTTCAGCATCAACAAGGTATCAAGTTTCTTTGTATAGACACCACTAATAATAAACTACCATTTAGTATTTCTTTTGTTATGGTTATTCCTCTTAATTTTTGCTTTTGAGATTTATTGTCCTTGTACAGCATTTTCAAAACAGCCCTTGAGAATTTTTATATTCTGTCTTATTTTATCTAAGGAACACAAAAGGACAGCTTAGCTTTTAAATTACCCTGTGGGAGAAGTTGGGTTGAAGGACAGCACTATACCCAAGGATGCACACTGAGCCTCACAACGTGGACAGGACTCATATCCAAGTTTCCTGCATGTGAACCCAACCTTGCTGTCATGACACCATCCTGGTTTTCTTGTGTGATTAAAATCATAGCAAAAATGAATAGAAAAACTATTCTGTTTATTAGTGCTTTGTCTATAAGTTCAAAGACCCTGATCATGAAGTAGTTTAATGTGCTGTTCTTCTTTGCATTTTTTTATTTCCTTAAGAATTCAAATGCCCAATAGTGTACCTGGCATGTTTGTTGATTGAAATATGTGTTTTGTCTAAAGTTAAGGAAAAAAATAACAAGTTTTAATTTTTTTTATTAGGTATAGAAACAGTATTACAGGATATAGAAATTCCATGAAAAAGAAAAATAAGTATTTTGTAAGGTTTTAAGGCGTAATTAATGTAACTTCAAAATAATAATGTTATTTAAATTAGGAAGTAGAGATAGTGAGCACATACAACTGTAAGAATAATATCCAGCTATTGGATTTCATCATTTAAAATCACTGGCCCATAAACTTGATTATTATATATATGTTTTTTATACAGGAAAAGCCAACACTGTAATTCTTCTATACCATTTCCTTATACTTACTTTTGTTTCCACATCCTGGTTCTTCATGTATTGCAATCAATATTTCTTTCTCAATTTTTCTGTCTTAATTTATCTGCTGGGGCTGCTGCATCCGCTTGGTGCCTGAAGGCAACATTTCTGCATGGCAACTAACTTACCATGGCTTGTTGTGTTGCACAAATGTAGGTGGCACCCTAACGGAAGTCTGTATTATCTGAGGGTTGCCTAATCCTCAAACTAGGTGCCTGACAAGCAATTCCAGAATGGGTGCTTGGCATGATGTGACAGCCCCTGTGGGTAAATTAAACCATGGTGGACTGCTACGTTTTATGAACCAGATCTATATGGAGTCCTTGTTTTTGCTAAACTGTGGAAAAGGTGTTTCATGCCACAAAGAGTTATCCACACTATAGTCTTATAGCCATTAACTATATTTCAGAAGTATTTCTTAAAGCATCTATAGTATGTGTTTATTTCTTAATGCCATAAAATGCCACTTATGCCTAGAGAGCTTATGTTATCTGAACAGCTTGTTTCATAGGTCACCATTGTTTACTTTTAAGAACTTTTCTTGGTTACTTTAGGCTTCTGGTGTTGCACTTTGAATCCATTGTTCTTGCATTCTTTGTGGCTGAACTGTGATGTGGAGAATAATTGAAATTTAGCAGAACCCTGCTGAGTTCTTTACTATTTACTTATCATATATGCCATTAATATGAGCTCCTATGAATAGTCTCCATTTCCTTTTAAAAGTGCTTAGAACTTGGTAAATACTATCAGGGGTTTTCATGATTCCTACCATCTTGCACTGAAAAAAGTAAAATGTAAAGCATACTAGAGCTAACATGTTGATTGGGCAGCTTATTGTCAGTAGTGACCTCATGTTGCAGTCTATTTCTATGTAGACTGCAGGGCTTAGTGCAGTACTTCAGTGCCATCTTACAGGCAGCTATTGAAATCAGGCAAGCAGAATGAATAGCCAACAGAATAGATCATATTGTTTTGTTTTTCAAATGAAGTGTTTTTACATGAAGTGCTCATTTGGAATAGCAAAAATAATTGGAATGGCTTGCAAAGTTCTACTGCACAGGTAAATGGACTTAAAAGGATAGTTTAATAAAATTGAAATACTTAAAGCTAAACATAAATGATTGTAAGATACGCTCTGTGATATCAAATACTTTGCATGCAGTAATTAGGTAGATATTTAAAGAAGGAGCTAATCTAAGGAAAGCGAACTTGTGAATGTATCATTAATTTGTTATTAAAAATAGTGCTTTTGAAGATCTAAATTTGCTGCCAGAGAATAGCAGCATTTTAGAATGTTTATGCTAGTATCTTGCTGTGTCATTCTGCATCTATAGTTCACCAGATGCTGCTGCTGTTTGAAATAGAATCAGCTTAAACTCAACACATTAAAAAATGCACGACATCCTAGGTATCTATGATAAATTGTTTAGAGATAAATTAAGTAGTAAGAGGATTCTTCAGGCTTTGAAGAAGTGTTTTTCAAAACAATTTTGTGAAAATCTTCATTGCAATGAATGAGTGTTTTGGGGAAAACTGTAGAATTTGTTTATCTATGGTTGGGAACAGGAAGATTTAGTGCCATGTGTATCACAGCTTGGACATTTTAGAACACCATATCTAAATTCCCACAAGTAAGGATAATTGTCCTTATCATTTTTGGTTTTTTGTATTAGCTTGATTCCTCTTTCTCACAGGAGTACATTCAGTAAGATTCTTCACTACTATTTGCTTTGTCCCCCCACCTCAGTTTTCCTTAATTTTGCACAATTATATAAAAGATTACATCTTTAATATTCAGTCTGCAATAATTATATTGTATACTATAAGACATAATAAATTAGCTACTGATTAAAGTATTTTTTAATAAAGTACTCATATTTTAACCCTAAATTTTGCTTAAAACCGCTTGCTCTCTCAATCCTTTGTTTTGATCCCTTGTACCTTTTACTAAAACAAAATGTAGTATACTCTGTAATTACCTCACCAAAGAAAAATCGCAGTATATTGAAACATTTCATGAATTAGGAGATTGTTCATGTTACAGTTTCTTTTTTCTATAAGAGTTGTGAAAATGCAGGTATTCTGTCAAGTATAAGATAGACACAGTAGGGAGGAGAGCTTATTTATAAATTGACAGTATTTATATTGTAAAGCAAGAGCAACTAGTGACATCCCTGACCACTTTGTGCCTGAACAAGAAAATCTTGACTTGTACTTCTGCACAAATAAATATAGCACAGCTAATGAACTGTTTACAGATAGATGATCAGATTGCTTTTCATACTTTCATATTATAATCTATTTCCAGTGTTGAGCCCCACTGATTACAGTGACTGGCAAAAGATCTTTCATTTGTTTCCTTGACTGTTATTTAAGCCTATCTTGGGCTCTCAACTCACTTTTGAAATTTCCATTAATTTTTGCTCTGCTTGGTCTCCAGAAACTATTTGGTGCCCTTTTCATTCTTTCCTAGCTTCCTCTACTTTTTGTCTCGTCTCAGATGTTTCACTGTATGATGATGTTTGTTTCTTTTTGATCAATTCCCTGGCTCTTCCATTCTCTACTTTTCCCCCTTTCTTTTTTCATATCTTGCTTATATAGCAAAGGAGTAGGTGGTACCCTTACCACCAACTTTCTGTATAATGATGCTGCAGAAAAAGTGCAATATAAAAGACTGGAAAAGAACATTCAGAATCAGCCCAAAAGGCAGGGAAGTATGGGTTTAGCCAGAAAAATGCCTACTTAATTTTTTGTCACAAGTAATTTTTCACAGAGATGAAGGTGACTTGACAACAGTTTGGCATGTTAAAGATGAAATAACGTTGGAGCAGGGTCAGACTTAGTCTAAATTAGCTTTCCTTAGGGAAGATTCATACCATAGTGGTACATGAGCAATCCCAAGTTCTTCCCTGCATTCCCAGGTGTAACTGCAGAAGATTCCTGTCTAAGCATCGCTACCTATGGATAATAGTAAATAATATTGGGCTAGATGAAACAGCAGTTTGACTTAAGGCAACTTGGTGTTTTTAGTAAATCCACTTGCATTCATGTCAATAATTAGGGTTTCTTCCCCATCTGGCAAACTTCTGCCAAAAACCTTGGTTTTTAATTAAGCTCTTTCCTTTTATCCCCCATGATCTTGTGAAGAAGGAAAGGTGTTTTCTTTTAACAATCGGCACCAGCACTGCTACTTAATTCAAAAACTGACAGGAAGGGAGGAAAGCCAACCTTTATTTTTTCTCTTTAGTTTGCAAGTGAACTAAACCAAAATGTATGGACACTGGCTAGTCTGCTCTTTGGACAGAGTTTTGCACACTGTGTCACTGACACTTTTTACCTTCATCTTTGTGAAATATATACTCCCTCTGCTTTGTGCCTGTGGGACATTGTGGGAAGCTTTGCAGGTGACAGCAAGGGAGTATTGAAGAATACTAACCTTTCTTCTAGCATCTGTGGGGACTATGTTGCGTACATAGCTGGTTTCAACCTGATTTATTCTATGTTCTAAAGATAGTGTATTTGGTTTAGAAGTGATAAAGTATACATACTTTATATTCCATTTTCCCCCAAAAGTCTAGTTATTTCCAGAAAAAAAGAAGATTGGTTGAGAGACCATTTTCTCTAACCATGGTTTCACATTTTCTGGAAATTATAGTAAAAATCTTGCTATTTTGTAAAATATAACTAGATCAAGTAGAATTTTTAGTTTCTAATGACATTATGATACCTCCATACAGTCAATAATTGAAAGGCTTCAATACCTATATGAAACAATTGTTTAATAGTTAAACTTTGCCTTTATCATTCCTTGATAGAACTTAAACTCTTGCAAATTTACCTCCTATTAAAATTCCATCCATAAGTCTAGAGACTGTTAAATAAGGTATCGTATTTGTTGATTTGGGTCAAAGGCATCAAACACAGTTTTTATTAAACCAGTGGCATAATATTTCCCATTCAGAACCTTGATTCATTTGTTAGGCCAATGATTATAGTAGAGGCACAAGCTGAGTGTGGAACTCCTACATTTGAACTTAACACATAATACTAGTTTTCTTTTTTCAAAGGCAGCCCATCTTTGATGCATTGCAGTGATCTAGGTGATAGGTTACTAGAGCATGGATAGCTGCACCTGGATGATATCTGTCCAGATAAAGACATAGTTGGTATATCAGCCTAAGCTGGTAAAAGATGCTTTCTGCTGCCAAATCCACTTGCGCCTTTAGTGACAGTGCTGACTTAAAAGCACTCAAAAACTACTTATCTGATTCTTTAGGGGAAGTTCAACCCCCTCTAGAACAGGTTGGTCATTACTTAGCTGGGGAATAGAATCATTCACTGAGACTACCTCTGACATAACCTGGACTGAGTCTCATTTTATTGGCTCTCTTCTAGTTTCCATGCTCAAGCATAACTTCAGAGGTATGAGATTGCCATAAGGTCTAGGAATTCTTTTTTAAGTTGTTGTTCCACATGGTTCCTGCCTGAGCTTTTGATAATTTGGAGTTGAGTCCAAGTGGTATGGCTGTAATTTGTTACTTGTATTGTTCTCTTTCACCTAAAGATATGCACAATGGTTAAAAAAAACCTACTATAATTTATCCAGACTATGGTATTTGTGTAGAAATTCTTTGTGGCAAAGGGAAACATTTCTTTTTTATTGCAGTGCTCATCTCTCCCCCTTAAGCATCTTGCCAGCCTCTGCAGAGTAAGTATAAGTTCCCTAAAGAAATAGAAAGCATTCATGATTGCACTGTCTGTATTCTGTTATGAAAGCTTTGCCCTTTTATGCTTTGGAAGGATAAACATTGACCGATTTCAATATAGCAAGAAACTTGCAGGTATTAATGGAATGTCTAGTTAAATTCGTATATGAAATTCAGCCCCAGTCCCTAACCCACACTCTGTGATCCTCTAGATAATATGTTATTACCTTGCATCCTTTTTCTCAGGGCACATACCCTAATTTTAAAGCCTTTCCGTTAGCCCTGCTTTCTTCCTATGCTATCCCTGTTTTGCAGCTCCTTCCCCCAAGTCACTGTGTGCAAAATACATCATTTATTTCCCTATTTGTTAGTGTAACTGCTACTTTTTCTGACGTAGGTAGACTCATAGGGTGCATCTTATGATGTCACCTCTTGTTAGTCCTGCCTCTGTGTGGCCTTTCTTGCAAAGAGCTTGTCAGCCTTCTCATTCCTTGTACTCTGTTCAAGGATTTCCTCTTTATCGAACTGAACATTTATTTACTTCTACACAAACTGCAGTGTTTGCCAGTGTTTTGTTGCTGCTACCTGTACTTTGAGCACTCAGAATATTTCATGGCATGCATCAGTTCAGACACTGACATTCTGGTCTGAAGATGACAAATTTTAGATATATTTTAGATATATTGGACATATGTTAATTATCTTTCAAATATCACTATACAGTGGTACCTCGGCTCACGAACAAATTGTGTCACGAACAAAAATTAATGAAAAATTTTGACTTGGGTCACGAACACTGCTTTGGGTGGCGACCAAGATCGCAGCTATCTCCCCCCCCCCCCCCCGGTGGGGAGATGGCCACGACCGCAGTTGCTTTCATGCAGGGAAGGCGTCCGTGATCAGAGGCGCACGGCTGCACGAATGACAAGCAGAATCTCGGCAATCTCCCCCACGGCTCTGCTTTGCTGCACCCATCTTTAGTGCAGCCGCACACCTCTGATCACAGATCGCAATTGCTTTCGTGCAGGGAAGGCCTCTGTGATCAGAGGCGCGCTGCTGCAGGAAAGACAGGAGCAGCAAAGCAGAGCCACGGGGGAGATGGCTGAGATTCTGCCTGTCTTTCCTGCAGCAGTGCACCTCTGACCAGGCACACTTTCCCTGCACGAACGGAACAGCGATCGAGGCCATCTCCCCACCCCCAGTGCGCCCGCAATCACGCCTGTCTCCTCTCCATCCCCCAGTGCTCTGGGATGATGGGCGCCTGCAGGGATGACAGGCACGATCTCGGTCGTGCTGGGGGGGGGCGGGGGCTCAGGGAGATGGCCGCACTTGTGCTTGAGGTTGAGGGGAGGGGGAGATGGCCACGATCTTTGTTGTTGTCACTTTGAGTCACATTTTTCTGATTTAAAAAATGGTTACAGAATGGATTAACCTTATTTACATTGAACCTTATGGGGAAATTTAACTTGGCTCATGACCAATTTGGGTCACGACCAGAGTCCTGCAACGGATTAAATTTGTGAGCCAAGGTACCACTGTTGTACCTTGGGAATAATTGACTGAATTTAAGAAAAGCAAATGCAAGTTATTTAGAAGTAGGCATAAAGAAAGCTAAATAAAATAAAAATGAATTCCACTTTGTAAGTTCACATAATCAGACATTCCACTGTAGTTATTATAGCATGCAGTGCATGCTGGAAGACATTTTGAATATATTTTTTTATTTTTTATTTTTCAATTTATAGCCTGCCTTTTTCCTACAAAGGGCTCAAGGCAGCTTACATCATTTCTCCTCCTCCATCTTACCCCCCCAACAACAACAACAACCCTGTGAGGTAGGTTGGGCTGAGAGTCTGTGACTGGCCTAAAGTACCCAGTTGGCTCCATGACTGAGCGGGGACTCGAACCCAGATCGCCTGAGTCCCAGTCGCATGCTCTTAACCACTACACCACACTGGCTCTCGATTCAGGTCATAACTTGTTGTATAGTTTGAACTTGGAGAAAATGTGCTATGTAAATCTTGCAAAACCCTGAAACAGTCTACGTGGTCAGAGAGGACTTTTTAACCCTTACAAAACCCATAATCCTTGGGCTTGAATGATTCAGCAATGGTGTAAGGACGGTGCCTGTGGTGCAATAGCTCATAGTAAGTTCAGTAAGACATGATTACTAACACTTATGTGACTCTGATGGACATCTTCCACTCAATCATCCTTTGCATTAATGAACTTAAACAGGCCATTAGAAAAGGCCTGAAACAGTAATACCATGGTGGAAATAAAAACTGGATTCAGTCATAAACATTCTTTCAAAGCATTCTAAAAAATCCTGCCTAGCAGAAATCTAGAAGCATGCTAGATTGCTAGACTGTATTAAATTTAATTGTATAGGTTACAGTGTCCTTTCTTTCCACAGCTGCTTTTTAAAAAAAGGTTAATAGGGTGAAATCTTTATGTGGCTAGATACTGTTAATTTATTGTATTTTAATTGATTTATTTGTAAGCCGCCTCGAGGCTTTGGCGAATGGGGCAGCATAGAAATTTTCTAAATAAATAAATAAATAACAAAATGTCACCACAAAAAAGGTCAATCTAATAGATAATCTGTTAGAAATATATTATGGATATACTAGTTGACAGTTATTTATGTGTTGCTTGTCCAGACAAATTACTTTTGTGGGCTAGCAAAAATCAGTGAAGTTTTAAGTACACGGAAATGTGTCGAACACCCTAATTTTCAAGTCTGTTTGCTTAGTTTTACCTTGGCTTACTAGGTAGAAAGTTGGAAAATGAGATTGTAACCTATCCTGAGCAATCATAGTAATGAAAATACTTCTTTTTAAAGCATCTTAGAAAGAACAATTAGAGCAGCTGTGGAACAACATCTCTTTGATCTGCAGAGCAGCATAGATCAAGATCTCAAGAATTTACAACACCAAGTGGTGTGCCATGATGCAAATATTGATGGGGATGAAGAAGGATCTAACAACCAGTAAGATTTTATTTTATAAAACAGCATTTTTAACTGCAAACAATGGGGAATTGCTTTAAAATACAGAGTCTATTATTGTAACCTGTGTTTATTTGTAACCTGCCCAGGGAGCCTTATGACTAATGGGACAGGATAAAAATCAAATAATTAAATTTTAGCACTGAATTAATAATAATTTAGAATGACAAGGCATATGTAACAGTTACTCCAGCTGAATGTTCCTTCTCAATTTACTGCCTGATGAGGAGGAATCCACTTCTCTTGGAAGTGGTGTCAAAGTGCAATTGCATCTCTCTTGAGGGAGAGATGGGCAGTTGGCTTATTTATTAGATTTAAGCATTTATCCTGCCTTTTTCTTTTCTAAAGAACTCACAGCAGCTTACATCATTCTCCCCTCCTGCTTTCAATCTTAACTCCACAACAACAACCCTGTGAGGTAGGTTGGGCTGAATGTTTGTGACTGGCCCAGATAACCTAGTTGGCTGCATGGCCCAGTTGGGACTAGAACCAAGATCACCTGAGCCCCAGACCTGCGCTTTTAATCACTATACCACACTGGCTCTCCAGTGTTATGATAGCTGATGCATACTGTTTAGAGGGTTATCTGAATATTTGTAAAGATACTGCAACTTGGCTAACTTGACTGCACCTTTCTGATTCTGCCATGGTTGGTCCAAACTACTTACTAGCAAGATGTCCTTACTTAGTGTGTGAATAGTATTCTCTCTTGGCTATTCCACAACCTCTTGTCTTGGATATACCTAACATAAGCCCCTTTATCTCAAGGGTATAGCTATAAACATTAATAAACAACGAATTAAGTTACAGCAACCCATTTGAAGATACTGATACCCCATAAATGTTATTTCCTGAATGCATTTGATCTGACTTCTCTAAACCTCATTTCACTGCATTCATCCTAGGATACCATCATTGCCACAAACCTTTGCTGCTGCACATTTTTAACTTTCAGTCATTCCAACACATTCACAAGTTGGATTTTTATTGTTTCATTAGGGATGATACTGAAAGGAATGTTACTAAAGATGGTGATAATCTTGGAGACTGCTCTGAAACAGTGGATTGCACTAATTTAGACAATGAAGTCGTACAGCCTGTGTCTGACAAAAAAGAAATTTATCAGGTAAGAATAGTTCAGTGTTCCATTGGTGCACGCTTGTTCTGTTTCCTGTGGCTACAATATGAAAATATTTGGGTGCAACTGTAAACATGACTACATGAGACACATGATTCTGACAGGATCACTAAAAATTAAAAAACAACCTTCTCTGCTAGTATAGGAGAGTCTCCAGGCCAGGTTTTACTTCTTAAGCTCAAGTGGCAGAGAGTATGGTAATGAGAATGAGAGTTCCTTCCATGCCTAACTTCGGAGGCAGACAGTATTTTTTCTTTCCCTGACCATTATTTTCTCAAATTTTTCTTCCCCCACCCCTACTCTGGGCTAGTTTGCATGTCAAAATAAACCACCTTTATAAGAAATAATGGTGGTTTGTTTAATTGATCATTCAACAAATTGCTGCTGTCAAATGATCAGGAACTCCTTGGTTTGCTATAGTCTATTTCCTTGCTTCCACTGCCCATTTCTGGAAGAAGTTTTTCTTCCACTTTCTGATCACTATGCATAAAGAATTTTCTAACAGTTAAACTAAGAATGTACCAAAAAGTTGTACTTATTTATATATTTAACTTTTGTGCCCAATTCTGTTTTAGTTTTGAGATCACTGCTTGCTCTGCAGGAACAGAATTGTGCATATAGAACTGCTATGGGCTTTGACGTTTAGAAAAATTAAATTAAAAAAATTTCCAGACCAAAAAAATACACATTTCCTCTGTCCCCTGAGGCTAAAGTGTGAAAATGCAGATTTGGAAGTGATAAGTGCATCCAGAACTTGTTTCTACTCTTGGGGAAACTTGCACAAATTTGCATTAACTAATACATGCATTTGTGCCAATGCAAATTAACTTACAGCAACAAGCCATTCTTAGGGTTGCTTGTGTGTGGTTAACATAATACCTGAGGCTACTATGGCAGGTTGGGCCACGAACAAGGTGGACAACTCACTGTGGGTTGTCATGTGGTGGAAATCAGGTCTCTGACTCTGTCAGGGAACACAAGGCAATGCTCTTAGTTCTCCTAGATTACTTGGTGACTTTGCTACTATCAGCTAGGTTTGGGACAAACACTAGCAGAATATGCCTCTAGCATTCATGGACTTCCTGTCATGTTTGCCCTGGTCTTGCTAAGTGCACTGTGGCAAGATGAAGTCCATGAATGCTCATGCAATGAAGGTTGTGAAACTGGCAGCCCTCTTCTCTGAAGTTTGCAAAAAATGATACATTTCCTCCCAAGCTTTCCATATAAGTTAAGCACAATGATTTGAGTTACGTGTAGTTTTGTTACTGGCATCTGAACAAAAACCTCGTTTCCACAAACAACCAAATTAGCTGGATAGCATATTGTGTGTGTGCATCTTTTCTGTTAATGGTATCATGGTTCTCTAGTTTAATATTAAATGATAGATAAATAAGTAAGCTTGTACAAGTAATCTCTCAGAAAAAGTGGATGTGTCGTGAGGTTTTTTTGGGATGGAAATAGGAGGCAGCATGATGTTGTCTGAGCATTGGACTAGAATCTGGAAGATCTGGATCTAGTTCCCACTTGGCCATAAAACTCATTAGGTTATTTTAGGGCCTTCACCCACTCTAAGCCTAACCTATGTCACATTATTGTTGTGTGGAGAAATGGAGAGGAGGAGGATTGTGTACGCTGCCTTGAGTTCCTTGCAAGAGGAATAAAGGTAGGCTACAAATGTAACAATGATCAACTATAAACAAATGTCATTGTAAATCCTAGTATTATTTTTTAAATAATAATTTGAACTCCCTATAGGAAAGGGGATATACTAAGTAAAAGCAAAGATCAGTACAATCAATGATAAAAACCAGTAATACAACACACTGAGCAGTATTATTTAAGACATGTGTGATAAGCTAAATTTTAAAAAATCCATATGGGTGAAGGGAAAGAAATGAAGAAAGGAAGGGTCATTTTGCAGCATGTAGATTCTATGGGCTTCTTTGGTTGGTTGTTAGTTATGTTTATGTTTTATCTTTTTTCCAGCAAGACTCAGGTGGCTTGTATAATCTTTCCATTTTATCATCAAAATTCTGTGAAGTCAGTTAGGCTGAGAGTAAATGACTAGCCTGAAGTTTCCCATTGAGCTTCCTGACCAAGCAGGGGCTAGAACCCTGATTCCCAACTCCCAGACCAACACTCTGACCACTACACATTTGCATTCTGAGACCACATGGGAAAGTATCCATGCACTCCATCTGTACTGCATGTTTCCTGGAGATTTGTAAATGCTTGTATGCTGCAATATATGGCTGGTAGGGCAGTATTTAGTTCCTTACTTGACATTAGGTTTCATTGCTACAGTACTGCAGTACCCATAATCTTAAGGGACAGCATATTCTACTAGTTGTTACGCCATCCATGTACATGGTGGTTTACAAAGAATGAGAAGAGAGGTCCCTGCATAAGGGGCTTACACTCTAGCTATTGTCAGCAGGGAGCCTACGGAGAAAAGAGGTGGATAGGAATTAACTTCATGAGTCAGAAGGAGACAGATCAATTGACTATTAGGCTGTTGTCTTACTTGAAGCTCATTCAGCTCCTTTGGAAGATCTGGTGGCTGCAGGTAGCAAGTTACATTGTAGACTGATGAGAATTTGGTAAGCAGCTTTATATATTGCTTTATCACCTTTTTCTCCAAGCCATCAACAAGGTCTGGGCAAGCTGTGGTAATTTTAGTAGGGACTGCTGGTACTAGTCCCCACCACCAAATCCCCAGTGTTTCAAGGCCCTTGCTGGGAAAACTGGTGGATTCAGAACTAGAATGAGCCGATCTTGTAGTAGAGTTTAACAGATGAGCAAAATGTGTTTGTGTGTTTGTTATTGCTTTAGATAGTATGAGTACATGCTGCCGGCAGCTTTGCATCTCACTTGATCTGTGTTTCTGCTTTATTTAGTAACAAGGATTAATAGAACCTTTTAGATAGTCCAATGAATGATTCATTTTACATAAGCTGAGGACAAGCCTGTAACATGCTTGTCATTATTACTTTGTTATAGATCTTCAAGTCTCATGTTTGATCTACATTCAACATGTTTCAGTGGCCAGATTTAAAAATGTGTTCCCAGAAGCTTAGAAATTCACTAAAAACGGAAGGTGTATTAAGATGTTAATTTCTGTGATATGTTGTGTTTCTGGCCATGTTTGTATAAACCTAAAGTAACCAAACTACTTTGAATGTAGCAACTCATTGAGGTTGGCTTGAGCCACATATAAAGTAAGAATTGATGATGGATGTCACAGTTGTTGAGGTATCATGCTAAAATCTGTTTGTCCTTCAATAGGAAGCGGGTGTATTGTTGAAGCCATGTGCTGGAGGAGGAGAAACTAAAGAGTCTGCTGGAGATAAGTACGTATTTCAGTATATATGAGAATATTTGGGAGGCAAAGGAGCATGGCAGCTTTTGTTCATACCCTCAATTTCATGCATATCAAGGCATTTCTGCAGAGAGACTCTTATTTTTTGCAATTCATCCATTGGTTTTCCTTGCATGTGAACTTCTATTTGTTGTTAGAAGAATAGAGAAAATGGGCAGCTATTTTATGTAAGTGTAGAGTTGGAAGACAACAAGAGCTTTTAAAAGCAAAGTTAATGCTGTTGTCACCCCTATTTTGTCTTAGAGGAAGTAGGTAGATTGCTTTAAATAATCAGGACTTCTGTGATTTATAGAAACAGAAACAGAGCGAGTCAAAAAGAGCCTCCTGGGCCATCTAGTCTGACCCCTGGCTCCAGCTGGCTCTGCTCACGACATTCCCACCGTGTTCATGTCTAGCCTGTCCTTGAACACCCTCATCGATGGGGCCTCAACCACCTCCTGTGGAAGCCCATTCCATACCCTTGGAGTCCTAACTGTCAGGAAGTACTTCCTGGCATCTAAATTGCTTTACCGCAGTAAGGAAAAACCAAGCTAAAAGTAACACTGATTCCGTATGAAACCTAGTATCTGACCTAGCTTTGGAACAGAACATCTGTCCTAGCTACCTGCCTGTTTTGTAATTTGAAATACAAGAATTGGAGTCTTAGACAATTTTGTCATGTGTAAATTCCTTTGAACCCAAATGTGCAGACTAGCCTGATTCCTGCTACAGTTTCTGGCTCATTTCCAAAAAAACCACAGTTAAGGAAATTTAACTGTTAAGCATGCAGGCAGAATGGACAAATAATGGTTTGCAGTCAGCTTCCAAACCAGAAACCATTATTTTAAGTGTGTTTGCAAATCAGGTTTATTGCTAACTCTGGTTTGACATGAAGTCTAAACTGACAAACCATAATTTTTACCTTTGCTTTTATTCCACCTTCAGAGATGACAGCATCTAGAGATGGGATTGCTGGGTGTATGACAAATGAAAGCAGACAAGTGGCTCTGATCAGTGACTTACCTGATTGTTATGCTATGCTTTGGTGTTAAAAGTACAACTGATGCAAACCATGGTTTGTGTGATGTCTGGGTTGAGCCTATTTGTGTGGTATAAAAGAATAAATTGTCTTCACAGATGCTTTGAAGTAATAATCTGCTCAAACAATAATAAGACTCTGTTTATAGGCAAGATTGTACATCATATGATGATGGCGGCAAATTGACGTCACACATGAGTCTGGTGAGAATTTGCTTCTTAATTGTTCTTTGTAAACCTAAGCCCAAATTGTGAACACGTATTCATGCTTATATCTGCACCTTCACTTAGAGTATGAGCATTCCCTGTGTATCCCTAAGTTTTAAATTTATACAGTGTTTTACATGTATTTGCTTTGTGTGTAGTGTTAATATGCATTTTATATGATTTTTGTATGTATTTGCTTGCGTGTGTTAGAGTTCAGAAAGAAACACATTTATGTGGATTTTTGGCTTAATGTTTGCTTGAAATTCATGCTCTCTTTGTAAATAGGGTAGAATGCTAAATAATAAAGTGTATGTTGTACACTGAAATTTGTTGACTACAATATAGAGTGCTTAAAATAACTTTGTTACTTATTTACAGGACTTTGTTAGCAAGGTTTGTGATCCAAATGTCAAAACAGAATCAGAAGAACTGAAAAACAGAAATAATGCTCCTGAAGCAACATTGTGTGTTCCTGTGCCACATTTGGATTTGAAGAATGTGAATGGTGGTGATAAATGGGAAGGTAATCTAGAGTCCCTTGCTACTTTTGAAAAAGTCAGTAATTCTGAAGTTTTAAATACATGCCCTTCAGAAGTTCACATTTGTCTATCCTTAATTTTTATTTATCTCATAGCACTTTGAGATATGGACAAGTACAGAGTTGTTTGAAATGTTTGAAATGTGTAAAGGGAACAATGTGTAAAGGCTAGAACGATGAACGTTATATTTGTAGGGCTTGAGATTTCAGGTTATCATGCAAAAGGCCCTTCAGCCTAAAAAAACAAGGAAAAACCAGTTTGCCCAAAGATAAAATATCCAGTCAGATCCTACTATTTATATACAAAATTGTGTGAATTTAATGTTGATAAAACAACTTTGTAAAACATTTGTCTACAATTCAGTTTGTACTTTGCATAATGAATGTTCTGCAACCATGTGATGTGCGTCTTCCCAGTCTTTGAGCTTCAGATGTTGAGGGGGCCATCATGATACTTGTATGGTGATCCCCCCGCCCCCCTTCCCAGCCCCAGGGTTAGGACAAAGAATCACAAGGGAAAACCAGGATGCTTCATGTCATCATTTCCTGCTTTGGAACAGGAAAGGATTAACCAAGCAAAAACCAACCCAGGATGCTTCTTACCTTCCTGTACCATGGTAAGGGAGGTCGGGGGTCCCACTGTGCAATTGTATAACCCAAACATTGACACACTTCCTGCTCTTCTTACCTATATAGAAGGAGCACCTCAGCCACTTAACAGCCATAGGAGCAAGAACTTGGTAACCACCATTTTTCATTTTGGCTGCCAAGGCCACAACATACACATTTGTTAATGTATACTTGGAAGAAAAATGCATCCAGTTTATAACTAAACAATTGGAAACTTATAATGCAGCTAGCCTCAGCATTAATATCCATATATTGTACCTTAATTCTGGTCTGTTTCATAAATTACAATTTAAAATTAATAGCATTTTTTGTAGTACTGTACATTCAGGGTATTTGTTTCATCTTTCTAGAATGGCACAAGCAAAAATGCTTCTAATTATTCTCACAGGGCAAACAGGATTAATTGTGCACTAGGAACACAAAGACATTAAAAACAACCTTCCTTCCATTATGGTTTTGAATAATACAATTTGAAGTATTGTCATTATAAGTATGTGCACATGAATAAAATACACTCTCCCAGTTATTCATGTATGTTCTTGCAGAGTGTTAAGTACATAATGGTTATTGTCAAACCATTGACTGCTGGTTTTGGATATATGGGTAAACTATCATGCTTTGGTTGATGGAAAGAAAGGATAAGTTTGTACATGAAATCCACCAAACCAGATGCACGTCCATCTTAACTATCCATGCTTTGTTTGCTGAAAATCAAGAAGTAATTGATTTGAACTTGAAGGAAGGACTTTGTTTTACTTACTTGGTTTTTACCATGTCCCCCTTTTTAAACCAAAAATGTTACATTTAAAATCAATTGCAATAGTAAAACAACACACTAAAATATAATAAAAATGTACATCATTGATTAAAAACAGCACCCAAAGAGCACATCAATTTGAGCAAATGCATGGAGCTGAGCCAGCGTCTTACCAATAATAACTTTGATTTGGTCTCAGTTGCTAAATAGGTAGTTAATTCCATTCTAAATTTTCTTCTTAGTCAAAAGCTAAGAGATGTAAGTTATGGCCATATATTCACTTTAAAAACATAGGCTGTTTAGATGATAGGAATGTCAGAGTTCAAAAAAAAGATTGGGACAAGTAAGCCCTCTTTCTTCGTTTGTTGATATACACTATATTCTAGGAGCAGGATCCAGAGTGGTAGAATAGGTTTGGGTTAACAACTCTGTTTTCCTTTCTGGTCCCTACTGGTCCAGATAATTTCCTGAGCTTGGGAGCTGCTGAGGTATATTAGGGTCTGCTCTTGGGAGGGACTGAGAGACCCAGTGTGCTCTTTGAAGATGTGCATGGTCCTTTGGATCCTGGACTAGATTTGCTTAATCTTTCTTTCCTTGTTGAAATCAATTTGAATTCTGGTATGATAAGCCTTTTATATTAGACAGGTTGGATTTCCTATGTAGTCTTGTGGGATTCAGGTCTAGTTCACTGATTTGCAGAGCCAGGCTTATATAGTGTTTTGTGATCAAAGCTTACTCTGATTCAAACAAATGTATATATCAGGTTCACAAATAATTTAATCCTTAGTGCTATGAACTTTTCCTGCAGTTTGGATTATTATTACCTTTAAACGAATGTGAGCAGAATCTGTCTTACATGTAAAATCCTCCTCTGTTTAAAATGTGTTTTGCTAAAACATGGAAAAGCATGTGGCTTTTTTGTTTGTAACCTCTGATCCAACACCTCTGGAAAGGCTTTTAATTAATAATGGGCCTAATACTGACTGGTGCTGGGCACATTTCAACTACCTTACATCATTGGAATAGTTACAGCTGGCCCTGAGTCAATTGGAAGACTTTCCTTGTGATGCTATACTTCCTACATGTTATGTATGGTTTGTTCTAACTGTGCGATGTGTTCACTTCAGTATTTTTTGCCATTTTTTCATTTATTAGCGCCATGCCCTATCACTTTTCCCCTCATTGATTTCAAAACAATGCATCTACAGAGAGATGGGGAGGGTAAGTATGGTTCGCCATACATTTAGTTATCTGCCTATTTCATGGTTTATGGTTGCTTTCAAAATACCCTTTTACCTGCTGCCTTCTGAAGGGCCATGACTTATTGATAGAGCATATATTTTGCAACCAGAAGGTTCCAGGTTCAAATTTGGGCATGTCCAGTTAATAGCAGGGTGGGAAAGTCTTCTGCCTGAGAGTTGCTGCCAGTCAGAGTAGATAGTACTCTGCTAAATGGATCAAAGATCTGATTCTGTGTAGAAAAGTTCCATATGTTCAGACCATGGGAACATGCTTGTCTGTCTCTTTAAATCCAACATTGTGTACTTTAAGCAAGTGAATGTCAAAGGCATTTTTGTATTCGGTGGGAAGCAGGTATAAGTGGGTCAGTCAACATTTTGTTTTGTGGTCATTATACGTTGAGTCTAGCTGTTAAATATAAGATTTGCACTGGAAATTAAAATACAGTGATTGTATGGCCCTATTGATCTTGGTAGTGGTAAAACTGATAGATGCATGTTAAGGAATATAAACAGTAATCTCCAAATTTTATGAAACATGAATTTGAAAAAGTTATTTTTAATTCCTGATCTGAAATTTTGTTCAGTTCTTAATTTCTTTGAAAAGAATTATTCTCCGTCAGCATCATTCTAGAGTGAGCTATTCTAATATATCAAAGATGTGGAACATGCAGCTCTCCATATATTACTTGACTGCAATTCCCATCATATCTCACCTTTGGCTGTGCTGGTGAATTCTGCAAAGAGTTGCACTAGCATCTGCAGGTTCACACTTTCCTCACCCCTGCTATATACAAACACATGGAGAAAGTGATAGAAAACAAGAGGGTAGGTTGAAAGTAAATCTGATGTGGACTTTAGCTCCCAGTGTTCCTAACCATTGGCCATGCTGACAGGGTCTTCTGGGAATCGAAGTTCCAGACATTTGGAAATCTTTCTTCTGCCTAGCACTGTACTTAAGGAAAAACATTGGCCTATTTCTATTCTAAAATTTGTAAAGGTAGACCCATTACCTAAAAGACTTTATCAAGATGGATTGATGCAATTAATATTGCACTTGAACTATTTCAGTGTGCCATCTGTTACTTTTTACATAAAGTTTCTATGGTCATGTAGTTTAAACATATTCACTTCTTTGTTTCAGAATTTTAACAAAATGCACACTGTATCTAATTTAGTGTATAGTTTGTACAGTTCTATAAATTAATGCATGTTAATGAGCCAATAAAATGCACAAGTGGTACACTCACTAGGTTGTTGTGTATGTATTTGAGTGTATTGGGCTATTTATTTTTTATTTGCTTTGACATGTAGCTTTCCAGTGCATTTCACAATTTGTTTTGTTTATAATGCACACTGTTATAGCAAACAAGCCTAAGAATTGGGTGCACACATGGTTTTCTTTATGACCCTCTAATATGCCAGTGCCATTTGTTTTCTATTTTTGTTTTTGTAGAGCCATTTCCTGCTTTTAAATCTTGGCAGGAAGACAGTGAATCTGGAGAAGCTCAGCTTTCTCCACAAGCTGGAAGAATGAATCATCCTCTGGAAGAGGACATTCATCCCATATTGTCACATCGGAGTTTGGATTTTGGGCAAAGCCAGCGTTTCCTGCATGATCCAGACAAAATAGATCCTTCATCTAAAGCACTTTCTTTTGTTAGGTATGTATTTAATGCAGTTCACAAGTAACCTACATGAGAATTTTTTTCTATCTCATTTTGGTTTACCCACAGTCGAGGAATTCTAACAACAATTCTGTGTGCCATGGTATGTCTATTAAGATGATCGTAGGGTTTATAAAATTGCTTTGTAAGACTAATTTTTTTCTATGTGAAAATCACTCTGTTAAATAAAGGAGAAAATGCATACAAGAAGGATTTGCTTTCCATGAGAAAAGCTTTTGGAATTTTGGGGTCTGAATTTGAGTAAGTTTCTGTTTAAGAAATATGCTTGGGAATAAATGCTGAACGTGTTGACTCTTTCATGTACTTAGTCTGGAAATTTCAACAGTTGTTGAATTACCAGTGTACTATAAATCCCAGTATACTCTTATGTTCTTGTGTAAGTATAGACACAGTCATCAAACCCTTTCCCCCCAAAAGTCCAAAGGTAAAGCAAATTCAGCAGTACAGGTGTAGAGAGAGGCATTCCTGAGTATATGGCATCTGCCTGGGAAGGATCAAAAGTTGAGGCATTTTAATGGTGGCAGGGCTTGCTTTGCATTCTGGCAACCTGGAATTACTGTACTTCATTACATAAGAATCCTTTTCTGCTTATGAGGATTTTAAAATTATATATGAGAATGACCCACAATTGTCAACAAATTTGCTTCAGGTTTTTCTGAAATGGAAGAATTCAGAGAACTCAAAGAATGGTAGAGCTGGAAGGAGCCATGAAGGCCATTGGGTCCAACCCCCCTGCTGTTTCAGGACAACTGTTTATACCATCCCACTCAGCTGGCTGTCCAGTTTGTTTTTTGAATGTCTCATGTATGGGAGAGCCCACCACCTCTCTAGGCAGCTGGTTCCACTGTCATATTGCTCTGACAGTGAGGAAGCTTTTTCTGATATTTAACCTGAATCTGGATTGTTGAAGCTTGACTTGATTATTCTGTATCTTGCACCCTGGTATCGACAAGAAGATACCAGGGTGCAAGATACAGCTTCCTCTTTGTGACAGCTTTTGAGGTACTTAAAGAGGACTATCATGATTCCCCCCTCAGTCTTCTTTTTTCAAGGCTGAACATGCCCAGTTCTCTCAGTCTCTCCTCATAGGGCAGTGTTTCCAAACCCTGGATCATTTTAATAGTCCATCACCCACTACCCAATATTTTGTTGGAGAGTCTGTCGTTCTGTAACTCATTTGCCTGTATTTGTGTATATTGCATTACCATTCTGACACTACTCAAGCACTGTTGAAAGAGCTGTCTAGCTGTTGGGTCTGTAGAACTTCAAAGTTGGTGTTAGCTGTTCTTGCCTCAGAATGCTAGAGGTATAAAACAATTTATGAAAGACTGGCATGTTTGTTTGTTTTTCTTTGTAGCCTCTTTAGATCATGGGTGGGCAATGTCTGTCCTTTTGGATGTTTTAGCCTACAACCTTCCTATTACTATCCAGCAATGTGAGGGATGATGGCAGTTGCAGTTCAAAAAATATGGAGAGCCACAAGTTACCATGTCCTGCTTTACAGGTGTACATGGCATCTGTGCTTGCACAGAATAGATGTCAGAAACTTCTGAATCTCAAGCCAGGGATCTGTCACTCATTGTCTCCTACTTCAGATGAAAAGTTTTGCCATGTGTGCTTACCTGGTGTGGTGGGAAGAGCACCTTTCTGCTAAGTCTAATTGTTGCAAGAGTGATTTAACAAGAATTAAGTTTGAGGAACTCTTTCTGAAGACATTCTTTCTATGTTACTTTTCTGTTGTTGGGAAGTGGTTACTACTTAATTCTCCACTATGTATCTATGGCAGAGTGGTTCTTATTAAAAGGAAGGGAAAATCTTTTCAGCCATGACCATTTTTTCATTTATTTGGGAAAGTTTAAATTCATGGAACCAGCCACAAAGAAGCTGCTCTTCTTGGTTTCTGAAATATCACATAGCAGTACGTATGCTGCATCTCTACTTTTTTGCTGCTTGTTTCTGTTCCTGGTTCTGAAATTTTGTTAACCACTGTGTATTCTATATGCAGCATAAATTTCTGAAATTCTATTCTCAAAAGCCCTTTTTCCTTAACTACTGAAAGATTGAGTTACTAAGCAGCATGAAGACAACTCGACATATTTGCCTACATCTCTTTTGACAGTTTTGGTAACTCAAGTCATGCCAGCAATGCCAGCATTAACAAAAATACTCAGGTTACCTGCCTCTGCTAGTGCCACCCCTTCCTCCCACAAGGTGTGATACTGAAGCTGAGTGCCACTTGAATTGGTTTACAATAGGTGATAGCAACTTCTTAATCTACTCAGAACATTATCCCTTGGCTACAATGTATCTTAAGAGAAGCAATTCAAGATTCTGCTTCTTTCATTCCCTGGGATGCATGCAGTCTTCAACAACATGAAATCCTTATTTGTCCCTGGACTGTGTCCAGGGCACGTTTGGAAATGGCACTATTTTGAAGCATGGAATGACTGGGTGACATTTTTCTTCAAGTACCAAGAATTAGCCTCAGCAATATAGTTTATGCAACACACTTTATCCTGCTGTATGTCCCAACAGTGCAGTGTTGTGTGAATCTGCTCACTGTGGCTTATTTGAGAATTATTTGAACAAATCTCACATCAACCCTGATTTGTTTTAGCATTATGCATGAGTTGTTTAACAAAACACAGTGAGCCCCGTTTTGTCATGCAAACTGAGCTAGTGCTTCTTGCACTCAAATAACATTTTGATACATTGAGGTAGCCAGTTTTAATTTAGTGACTCAGTTCACCTGACACAGCAACCCATAATGGGTTGTTTTGTAAATCTGGACAGCTTTTTTGCAAGTTCAAAATACTTTTGCTCTTTTTAGGGCAATTTGCTCATAATATTGCTGCCATTTGTTACAGGCAAGTATTGGCATGAAACTACCTTCTTTTATATATTCAGGTAGAACAATACCTGTCTCCACCAAAAATGGCAAGCAAACAAAATTTAGTAGGAGAACCAGGCATTGCAAATTTATAGACACATAACCCTTTATTGGCCTTGTGGTCAGCTACTTATATTGTCCTTCATTTTGTACTAATGATAGCTTATTTCTGATGAAGTTGTTGGCAGCCGCAATTATATTTATCTGGGGAAAAAGACGAAGTTAGTGAATAGACTTCCTTCATTTTGTGCTTCATGTACTAGTATTTTGAGGTAAGAAAGGAAACCTGAAAAGATTATTGGCAAACAAGCTTCAAAGAGTTCTGAGATGGGATAGTGCTTATTTTAATAGGTATTTGTTGATTCTATTTATATGAGCTTTCATTGTCATCACCTTTGTGTGTGCCTGTAGAATTGGAAATAGGAAACAGGTACTGGCTTTCTTTGGCATCTTCATTAGTATATTATACATAGAGTAACTTAGACCAGACAGAAACAAAATAAGAGTAAATTGATGACAGTGCTGAGATGAAATTTTTAAGTAGATGAGATTGTCGCACTTTCAGGTATGCAGAAATAAAGTTGAGAACGGGATTCAGATGCAAGGTCCAGCTTTCTAACCATTGACTTATTAAGTTATCTCCATAAGTAATAAGAAAAATATAGCTAGAATCAGAGAGGCAGTGATGAAGGCAGGAAGATTTTCAACTTTCTTTCGAGCCGTAGAACTATTCTTAGATATAGTATAAATATACAACTTGAAGAAAACTCAAACTATGTAGTATTTACTCATCTTAGAATAGAGAAATCCAGAGAAACAAGAGCATAGCAAGACTGAATCTCTAGCCTGATCAGACGCCTAATTTTAGACAGGCTTTATGTAGCTTGACTTGAAAAAGAGCATTTCAGATGATCTTTAAAATAGGAGAGCTGTGTGCTGAAAGTCACATCTACACTTAAGGTAGATGAGAGAAGAGAGAACACAATAAATGGAGGAATAGGGATAGGAGTGCAATGAAATTGTCTCAGGAACATTCATGCTCCAGTTTGATTTCCTGTTTCTTACATAAAATATAGCAATGACATCTTACAAGAACCTTTAATCTTGAAACTGAATTGTTACCTTTCAGTTGAAGTGAATTGCATAAAAATACTATTGCAAATATAAGAGTATCAATGAGCCTTGAAACTTTTGTTCCACTTATCACTGCAATATATCAAATTTGTGTATTAATGAATTTGATATGCTGTCAGAGATGGTAGTTATATATTCTGCCATTGCTTTTACACATCACTTTTTAAAACTGTTGTGAAAGAGCTATGCTTTTCCCTATAGAAAAGGGTTTGTCCGTTTAATACTTCTTTTAGATGTTATGGTTTTCAGCTTTTGGAAGGAATCAGCTTTTGGCAAGGGGGTAGCTTTTATTAGAGATTCAGGCACTTGACTAACAGCTTTTTTATCTGCCTTGTTCTCATTTGAGTAAAGTACAACCTTATAATGAGGATTAGTGACAGTGTTGCATGAGAGGAGAAGTTAACAGGTGAGACTGTTTTGTTCTGGTTGTTCTGTGGGTTTGGTGAAGGAATTGGAAATGTGCACCTGCTTGCTGCTGTTCGTTTGTTTGTTTTGCCTATTTTATATTATGTGTATAAAACATGCAAAATCTCCATCTTTTTTACATTCAGAACTCGAAGAGCATCATTTAGTAGCTCTAAGGATGACAGAAGGGAAGAAAAAACTCCTTATCAACTAGTCAAAAAGTTGCAGAAAAAAATAAGGCAATTTGAGGAGCAATTTGAAAAAGACAAACACTTCAAGGTAAGCTATTTTATTATTGAATACTCAAAACATTTGATCTTCCAGCTGTGCCCTGGTACTTTAAACAGCCCATTTCATTCTGTGCCCTAAACAATTTAGAAATTATCTTCCATACTGGATTGTTACACAGGAATTAATAGTTGGAATGTATACTAATCTGTGCAGTAGGTAACCTGAGAGAAGAGTTCGCTGCCCACAAAACAGGTTCAGCTAATAACTCCTCTGCTTTCCACTTATTGTTTGGATGAAATTAAACTTAACTTGCTATGCTATTCATAGCAACTGTTGATTGCTATCTTTTTATTGGCATATGGTAGATTTGCAAACAGTTTGATGACATACATGCTCAAATAAACATTTTCTGATTTGATAAAAAAAGCCACAACCTTGAAAAGCTAACATTTCCCTTGAAGAACTAAAGTACTATTGAAACTGTATATTTATTCATGAACATTTATTACTCATTCAATGTCAAACTGTTTTCCAACTCAGCAAATAGACTTGCTCTAGTGTTGGCATGATATTTATATATACAAAGCATGTTTATTAATACTATGTTAACCATTCCAAGGATATCTGAAATCCTCCACCAAAACATCTTGTTGCTGCTGTATGACAGGAAAGTGAAAATGAAAGCATGATGAAACAAATGAGTGTCTTGGTGTATAATAGCTGAGAGAGAGAGAGACGAGGAGATACACTATTCCTCAAAGGAGTTCAGAATAGAGCGTATGAAAGCTGTTCCTGTGTATCCTAACAAGCATGCTGTGAGGTTGGTCTGAGTGAATGACTGGCTGAAAATCGACTGTTCATAACTGATCATGGAATTAAACACTACTATGCCACGCTGGCTCTTTCTAGTGTCCCCCCCCCTTTTTTTTTTAAAGCTCTCCCACAAGATGTAGCTATGGAGTCTCCTCCCTCAGGCCCAGTCCTTTTCACTGTAAGCTTGATTATGATAATCTGTATATAGTGCCTAAGCTCATCATAGTGGCCTTTTAACTTAACCGTGATGCCATCTACACATGGCTAGGGGATGCATAACTAATATTATCCGTTTCACAAGAGACATAGTTTCTTAGTGTGTTGCAACCTTATCTTTATCTTCATTAAATTATCATGGCAACTGACTGAGTTGGAGAAATTAAGGGTTGTGGCCAATGAAGCTGCATGCTAGGCTGTATTAAAAATCAAGGGCTCAGTTTTGCTGCTGTTGCTGATTTTGTCCATTAAGGGGCATGGAGGACTTCCTTTCCAATGGCAAATCCAGGCTAATTCAAGCACATTAATGTTTATAAATATCTGCTTGCAGCCCTCATATTCAGATATTGCAGCAAACCCAAAGGTTTTAAAGTGGATGACAGAGCTTACCAAATTGAAAAAGCAAATAAAAGGTAAGAGATTCATTTCCATCTTAAGAAACAGACGGTTTATGCACATTTCCATAGCCTTCATTTTAGAGAAATAATTGCAGAATCTTGATCTACTTTCCAAAAATAAATGTGGCTTGTACATTTGTACAGGGTGAGTTGGGTTTTTTCCCCCAGACAACCTACCCAGAGAATCCATGGGTTTTTCTAGGATAGTTGTCTATTTTATTTATTTATTTATTAAAACATTTCTATGCCGCCCCTTGCCAAAGCCTCGGGGCGGCTTACAACACAATAAAATACAATAAAATACAAAAATAACAATATAAAATTAAAATTAACAATATAAAATAAATAAAAAATATAAAAGAAGTCGCCCTTGAGATGGGTTATCATGTAGTCCAGGGGTCTCAAACTCAACTTACTTGGGGGCCGCTGGAAGTAGAGTCTGGGTGAGGCTGGGCCGCATCAAGTATTTCACCACCGCGGTGGTGGTGGGCCGCTTATCCGGAGGCCGGCCCAGGCGCCGCCGGTGCTTTGAAGGCTGCAGGGCCCCTCCCCTGTGCCCCACCTGTCCCGGCAATTGGCTCGCGGGCTGCAAGTTTGAGACCCCTGATGTAGTCTGAACCTAGATCATATGCCCCATGGCGGGTGAGTCTCAACAGCCAGCAAGCCACTTGGTGAGAGTGGTAAAAATCCCACATTTCAATTGACACACAGTTGCTTGGTGAGCTTGGCTGTCAGCAACCCCCGAAGTGTCCAGGCAGTACTTTGGTCTGCTGTCAGAAACTTTCTTCACACATGATAATGTGGAGCAACCATCTTTATTGATGGCTTAAGTGTAGGCCTCTCCAACTACAGGCAAGATGGCTGGGATACTTCCCTCCTTGCTTAAGGGGTGGTCACTACATTAGTATGGAGGAATGAATCCTGGCTATTCTTCCTGATGGCTTGGGAATAGAGCCCTGGCTTCCGGGGGGATCCACACAATAGCGTTGCCCCAAGCTCAGGGTGTAGATGCAGAGCAGATCACGCAGGTAAAAGGTCTGCATATCCTGGCTACTCTATGCTTGAGGCAGCAGTGCCAAGTGGATCCAGTGCCCCACCTCTTACTGCCCGTCCAGTTCATCTGGTGGGAAGAAGGTGGCAGTAATCTGCTCTGTTCCATGCTTCACTTGGCATCATGGAGTGGATTGGGCACCCCTGTCTCCTGCTCCAAAGGTGCCCAAGCAGTGCTTCAGACATGAATGCTGCTTGTACTGAAGGAGCAAAGACTTACTATAATTATTTTCTATGCCCTATGGAGCAAAGCAGGCTTTTGTCCTGAAGTGTGACAAGATCAACTTCCAGTCTCAGCTTGGGTAACATTCAGTGGGAGTGTCAGGGTCTGTGGCCACAGTGTGGGTGGCCCAAGGCAGGCCAGGCCAGGCCAGGCCAGGGCAAGGGCAACAGCGGCAGCAGGAGCAGGGCAACAGAACTTCAAGAAGGGCAGGGTCCAAGAGCAGGTTTAATGGCAAGTCCAAATCATAGTCATGGTACTGGCCAAGGTCAGGAACCAGAAGAATGCATGAGGGCAGAGCAAGGTCATGGTCGGGAACAAGCCTGGGGTCAAGAACCAAGAGGACTAGCGGAGGTATTGGTACCTTGGACAGGATAACAGGCAGGATGCATGGCACAACAGGAACCAGATGCAGCAACGGTCAGGCAAAATGCAGGAGCTGAAGCTCAGCTTGCGGGAACCTCTGCATTGTTGAGGCAACACATCAAGGCAGGATACACAGACAAGGCAAGATACAGGTTAGGCAAGAGGCAGGCAGAAAAGTAAGACAACATGGAAAGGCAGGAGCTAGAAGCAAGAACCAGGAGCAGGAACAGTTAGGCAGGATGCAGACACAGGTGCAAAGAGGCAAACCTGTGTTGCTGAGGCAACGTGACAAGGGGCAAGCAAATTGGACAGGAGCAGTCAGGCAAGGTACGGCCACTGCAGCTATAAGAAGACCTGTATTGCTAAGGCCAGTTTGGAGGGAAGAGCTTGCTCTTACATAGTTTTTCCCCCAGGACCCCCAGCTGACACTCATCAGTAGAATGAGAGCTTCAGGTGGGCTTAAGACTGATCCTGCAAGTACAGTGGTGATGCTTGTTCTGGTTCTGGCTACCAGAACTGCCCAGATCCTGATATGGGGTTGTGCTGTAGTTGGACAGAGGACAGCCCCCTGCATGTTTTTTGACAGCCATGGAGAGCTGAAATCAGTTCATGGTCATGGCTGTCAAAGAGAAGAGACAATAATTGCCAAGTGACTGTTGGTTTAGTTTTGATATTTTTTCTGGACTATAGATGCAAAGCACAAAAGCTCAGATGGAGAATTCATACCTCAGACTCGTCCACGAAGTAACACTCTTCCAAAAAGCTTTGGCTCATCTCTTGATCATGAAGATGAAGAAAATGAAGATGATCTGCGGGCTGTCCAGAAGGAGAAGAAGCCTACAAAGGAGGTCACAGTAGAACTCATTTTTAAAAGGTTGAAGGAAAAACGAATAGAAAGAGCTTTACCAGAAGATATCAAGGTGAGTCTTGTGCCTGAAGAAGATTGATTGATTGATTGGTTTGTTTGTTTGTTTATAGCGTTTGTATGCCATCCTATTATACAAGATCTCAGGACGGCTTGCAATATTTAAAAAGACAATTAAAACAATTGCAATAAATACTAAAACAGAACAAAACAATAAATCGCAAAACAAACAGAGCGGCTAAACTTAAAAACTATTCAAGTTTAAAATACTGTTTAAATAAAAAGGTTTTGGCCTGGCGCCGAAGAGTATAACTTGGCGCCAGGCATACCTCTCTGGGGAGTACATTCCAGAGTCTGGGCGCCACAGCAGAGAAGGCCCTACTCTGAGTTGATGACCTTCTTACCTCCCTTAGAGAGAGTTCCCAGAGTAGGGCTTCTCCCATAGATCTTAAGGGGCATGAGAGCATATAAGGAAGGAGACGTTCCTTCAGGTATCCTGGTCCCAAGCTGTTTAGGACTTCATAGGTCAAAACCAGCACCTTGAATTGTGTCCGGACTTCAACTGGAGGCCACTGGAGCTGGTAGAGGACTGGCGTTATGTGAGAGTAATGGCTGGTCCCCATCAGCAGCCTGGCAGCTCTATTCTGTACCAGTTGCAGTATCCGGACCATTTTCAGGGGCAGCCCCACCTAGAGCACATTGCAGTAATCCAAGTGGGAAGTTACTAGAGCATGTACACTGTTGCTAGGGAGTGCTCCTTCAGGTAAGGGCACAGCTGATGGATCATTCGAAGTTGTAGGAAAGCACTCTTGCCACCGCCACCACCTGGAACTCCAGTGACAGCTCTGGGTCAAGGAGTACTCCCAAGCTACGGACCCTGTCCTTTAGAGAGAGTGCTACCCCATCCAGAACTGGTTCAAAATCACCTACCTGAAGAAATGAAGATATTTCTTTAAAAGTTATTATGCTTCTAAATGTCTTAATACAGTATGCAGTCGCTGGCTTATAGCAATGTCTCACTGTTTATTTTGTAGGCAGAAATGTTCACAAACTTTTTTGCGTTACTGTTGTCAGTCCACATACGGAGTTCTGCACAAGAACTTGCAGTTCTGTTTGGCTCTGTCCACATGAAGTCCTTACTGACGGTTAATTGAATGGGAAGGCATTCATACAAAACAAAAACACTTTTCTGTGCTTGGAACCCTTCTGATTTTTAATGTTAATTAGAAGATCTCTTAAACAGTATATCCTTTTTAGGCCTTTTTTGTTTTAGCTTCAGAAGCAAGCATGTACTAAGAGACCAGACTTAAGAACATTTTATTTCTTTTTCACTATAGAAAATGACAAAAGATCATCTGTCTGAAGAAAAAATTTTACTCCAAAAAAGTCTCCTGTACTACGAAAGTCAACATGGACGCCCGGTAATATTTCATCTACTCCGCCCACCCACCCACAGTTACTTAAAACACAATTGACATGATCATGCAAGATCACTGAACACCTGCCCCAAATAGTTATCATATCTTATAATTCTCAAATGTTTCTTAAAATAGAATGCTGGCTGAATGCATACCGTGTTGGAAACCAAAGAAAGAGATGCAAAATACTGGCTTTCACACCTTAGCACATAGAATTCTGATAGTTAAACTGTTGTAAACTTCTCAAACTAAGGTTTAAAAAAGAGCTTTGAAAACTAATTTGAAAATACTAGATGCAAATTGTTATGTAGTTTCAACATCAAAACCCAGTAGTGCTTCAAAAACATCAGTTTGACAAGGAATTGAAATGTAAGTTTGAATTCTGCATATATTATATGCTGTAGTTTTAACTTGTGGTTAAGGATTTTGGGATTGCAGCCAGAATCATTTACTACAAATGGGCAAATGTCTGAAAAATTGGTACTGTTACCCATGTGTGTCCACAATAACCTGGCCTTTCCACATGATATAAAAAGGAATGAACCTGGGACAGTGCCTATGTTTGTTTTTTGTATCTTCTGTGGTATACTGTGATGAGTACAAGATGAGCACTAGTAACTGCATTATGGTAGAACCTTTGAGATTTGGGTTTCCTACTGGATATCTGGTGATCTTTGGCAAGTTGAGAAATTTGGCAGGTTAAGCCATACATTAGTTATTAGCTGAACTGATCATTTTATTCTGAGCAAAGATGTGAATAGGTGGTAAATACAAAGAAGAATTAGAACTATTTTCCTTTGAGAGACAACAGCTTAGTGTAAGAGACAAATCTCTAGCAAATAAGATTGCTTCTTTAGACCAGCACTCCATGCCTTGAAGTCATTTGACTTCTGCTTCAGTATAGAATGCTTTAGTTTCTTTGCAGAATGCACTTAATTTTGCCCCACTCTCCTTCTGGGAATGTCAGTTGTTTTTTAACCCCTTAGGCTTGATAGTCACAGTCAACTAGGATGTCTGAGAGTGTCAACAGCTGCTCTTTCAATTCAGTTTTTTCAGAGCCCCGGTTCATTAACATTTAGACTGCATATATTCCACATGCTCACAACATCCAGACGCATCCAGAATCTGTTGTTAGACAGCCCCCATGTCTTTTGCACAGGCTAATTTGTATTTGCTTAGGGAGCAATTGTAGGTTTAAAAGTTTGCTGCCTGCCTTCTCTGAACACTGCATGAGCTGATCACAGAGGAAGATAAACTATTTGATGACTTAGTTTCCAAGAATGTTCCAGAATCAAGGGCAGAATAGTGTTAGTACATGGTGCTAATAATAAATGTCCATGCTGTTGGAAAGTCTAAATCAGGGGTGGACAACATGTTACCCTCAAGATGTGTGTCGCTGCACTCCTGTAAGCCACAGCTGGAAAGGTCAGTGGCAGAAGATTATGAGTTGTAGTTCAAAATGTCTGAAACACACTGTTGTTTATCCTATCTCTAAATATTCAATATTTACTAGAGAAACTGACTGAACTCCTTGAGACATCCTTTCTTTTTGTTGCAAAACTGCAGCTTATCCATAACTGTGGGGCTTAATTCATATGTCACAGGATATGACATAAGGACAGCTGATAGAAGGAGCTAGCTAGGCAGTTTTTCAGTTACAGCAAAGGGAGTTGCCTTTTACTTCTCATCCCTAAACTCTTGCTAGACACTTATTTGGATTTGAGCTCCTCTTCAGATCACACTCTAGGAGACTTGTATATGTGGGTTAATTAGGTGGCAGATGTGGGTTAATTAGCTGTTTCATAGAAAGTGTATTTTTGTTTGTGATAAGAATCTAATAATGCACATTATGATGATTATTAGAGCATGTGATCCTCTTTTTCAATGTAAAAGAGAGCCCGTTATTCCTTTTCAGCTTTAGATGTTCCATTTCTTCTTTCTGACAGGTTTCCAGAGAAGAAAGGAATATTGTTAAACCCCTCTATGACAGATACAGGCGTGTGAAACAAATGTTAACTCGAGCAAGCATTACTCCTATTCTTGTGAGCAGAGACATCTTTGCTTCATACATTTTTGACTGATTGATGTTTAGTTAAGCAATGAGAGTATGCATTGCTGTATATTTGCCTTCTGGAGACATGTGCTAGTCATATTCCTAGGATGACTGTCACAGCTAGGGTTTGAATTTTTCATCCTTTAATCCCTTTGTTTTCAATAACCTGAGTGTCTTTAGCTTGTCAGTTACAGCAAATGTTGTCTATTGCTTTGCCAGCATTCATCAGCATTGGCGATACTGACCTTTGTCCAAAGTGACTGTCATTTTTAAAAGTGTTGATCTTTCTCTAGACACTTTGTAAAGCTGGACAGCAAATACATGAGCAATAAATAGTTGGCACTCAGGCATTAGTGCCATGTAGGATTTAGTGTTCTCACTCTATGCAAATAACAGAAGTCCAAAGATAGATTTTGGCAAGGTTCCAGTGTAGAGTCTTGCTAATATACTAGGGCATATAAAATGAAAAGGAATCCGTTTTCTTAATAGTAAACAGAACAAAAAGTTCTTGCATCTTATTGAATTTCTTGTGATTATATTTTAGGGGTCGCCATCAACCAAAAGACGCAGCCAGATGTTACAACCTATCATAGAAGGAGAAACAGCCCACTTCTTTGATGAAATTAAGGTATTTTGTGATGTAGAGATCACAGTGGCCCTAATCTATAAGAGCCATAGTGCATGTGCTTGAGTTTAATTCAGCAACACTTGGTACTTTTCACACTCTAAACTGCAGCAGAAATTTAAATGGGACTGCATGTGCAGAACCAGTGTGCATACTACTAGGACTATAGCTAGCTAGTTGAAAAGCTAATTACTTTTTCTCCTTCTGTTTTCAGGAGGAAGAAGAAGAGGAGGAAGAAGAAGGCAATCTGTCTTCGGAGCTGTCTGATTTCCTAAAGTCTAACGCTGAACAAATGCAATCCATTATTACAAGTCCATTTGAAAACTCTGAATCTGATGTTGAAGAAAGTCAGGAGAAATTGACTCGAGAGCTCCGTCTCTCTAGTACCTGTGCAGCTTCCATGTATGTAAATAATGGTCATTGTGGCACTAAACAACAAAGGTTGATTTTCATAAATGCAGCATTTTCCCAACCTTTTTTCAAGAATCGTTTGTGGATTGTGATGGGATCACAGGTGGAGCAGGAAAGGAGCTTCATCTGAAATGTCATGTTAATCAGTGCAGCAAAATCATTACACTTAAAGAGAGCAGTTGAACACTCTTCTGATAAAACACGTTTTCTCAAAGCAACTTCTGAACAAATCAGTCAGTTATTACCTCACAATTGCTTCTTCAGTAGATGGGGTATCTGTCATCATGGTCCAATGTCTTTTCTTACAATGTATTTCTAGGCCTGAATTATTGGAGCAGCTTTGGAAAGCCAGAGCGGAAAAAAAGAAGTTACGCAAAACACTACGGGAATTTGAAGAAGGATTTTATCAGCAGAATGGAAGGTCAGTTGAATACAGAACTGGTTATCCTAGGTATTCACTGCTAATGGAAACAATGAGAAGGAAAAAAGACATAATTGTGTTGAACAGTTATGCTAGCAGTGTATTGTACATTTTAAGTATCATTAAACATGTTTAAACATGTTTAATAAAATCAGCAACCAGATATGAGACCAATTTTAATTAAAATAAAAACTGCCTGTCAATAGGAATAAAACTAATAAAATTCAGGACAGGTTAGAATTCAGTGTGAAATCATTAATCTCAGTTCAGCCAGATGTAATTTAAATAAGTTCTGTGCAAGAGGCTGGAGATTGATAGCACATAGTTCTTGTTCAGTAAAAATAACGAATCAGTGGAGATGCAGAAATACAACACACGTTGTTTCAGTACCTCTCCGTTACAATAATTTGTGATACTGACAAACCTATCCGTCAGTTTTTTCACAACAGTGAACAGTTGCAGCTTTGTGATAGCACTCCTTTTTACATTAAAGAGAAACTCATGGTTTATATAAGGAGGATCCAAAGATACTTTAGATCTTTACTGGGGGAAGTTTTTGACCCAAGGGCTGGATTCCATTTTGGAGAAGCTCTTGTGGGAACATTCCTGTAGTCAGCAGAGTTGAAAAAAATCCAGCACTGCTCCAATTCCACTACTACTGATTTATGGTAGGAAGCATTTCTACTCAGAAGTTAGAATGAGTAGTACATCTGCTCACAATGAAACGAGAGAGAATTACTTGGCAGTACTTTCAAATAGTCTCTGCATGCCTAGGCAAATGGAAGCATGAGCATCATTTCTACTTACAGGTAAGTAGGACACACCTGCAGAAGGCAGGATTGCATCCTTGAGCACTTTCCTCTCCTGCTTTGACCCTTTGCTCTTATGTCTGATCAGCTGCTGAAAACTTACCATCTTCAGCTAATGACCAGAAAGAAATACTTTTCCCTGCTAAGCACCAAAAAAGGGAGCCTTTTCCAGTGGTAAACAGAGAAATGCATTTATCTTTGATCAGCAGCTGATAGGCAACAAGAGCTTTTCTCTCAACAGCAAATGGAGGACCAAGGGAAGAAGCTGCTGGGCTGGATGGGCAACCCTTATTGACCTGAAGTTTTTTATCCCTTCTCTAGGTAAAGACAGAGGTCTGTGCCCAGTCATGTTATAGATCAGAACAAGCAAGGGATAATAATACCACATCCTCCATTAAACTGTCAAACACAACTACCCACATTTTTTCTGTGCACAGCTTTGCAACCCATTGTTTTTCATGCAGTTGACATTTATTTATTTATTTATTTATTTATTTATTTTTATTTTTCAATTTATATCCTGCCTTTTTCCTACAAAGAGCTCAAGGCAGCTTACATCATTCTCCTCCTCCATCTTATCCCCACAACAACAACCCTGTGAGGTAGGTTGGACTGAGAGTCTCTGACTGGCCCAGAGTCACCCAGTTGGCGCCATGGCTGAGCAGGGACTAGAACCCAGATTGTCTGAGTCCCAAGTCCCATGCTCTTAACCACTACACCACACTGGCTCTCCGACACTGACTTTGAGCCAGTTAGACAAAAAAAAATTTGGTTTTTTTTTTTCAAGATAATAGCAAGTGATTCTGAGAGTTCTGCCAGTTCCTTTATGACTCCAGGATGGAGTTCATTGGGCACTGGAGAGTTGAACTCATTCAGACCAAGTAGGTGGTCCGTGACCATTGCCTATCAATCTCAGGCTGCAGTCTTTGCCAAGGAGGTTATAGACCTTCTTTTGAGAGAAGACAGAGCCAAACTAAGAATGGAACACTTCCTTGCCTTTTCTTTGTCATCTGTTACCATTTTGCCATACTCACTGAGTGGTCAGGCCAGCATTTCCTTCCACTGTGTTTTACAATACATGTATCTGAAGAAGGCTTTTTTGGTTGCTTTTAGCATCACTTGCTAACCTCGTCTAATGCTCACTTTAGCCTTCTTGACACCATCCCTGCAATTCTCTGCTACCTACCCATAACTCTTTCTTTGTAGCCTGGACTTCCACTTCCTATATGTTTCCAGTTTTGTTTTCAGGTCATCTCTGAACTTCTTGTGAAGCTGCACTGGTTTCTTCTGTTGTTGTCTATCTTTTTTCCCCCTTGTTGGGCTACTAAACTTGTAGTATGTATCTTTACTTGTAACATATAGCATGATTCCCCCTTCCCTTCTGCCCCTTCTTTTCTTCTTGAAAAGGTTATAGCCTTTGATTGTTGAGTTCCAGTCATAGGAGTCATCCCACCAAGATTTGATTACACCAATCAAATTGTATTTGCCTTCCTGTATTCATGGCTCGGCACAGGCCTCTGTCAGCACCCCTGCTCTTGGTGTTAGTATATGAACATAAAAGATCTATAGTCTACCAAACTCTATAGTATACCAAACAAGAATATGTTACTTTCAGCTTTCTAAGAAAAACAAAGTTTTAGAATTTCAGCAAGGGTTATCCATAAAAGCAGCCTAAAAATAGTATAATTGTGAACTTTAAAAAGGAATAAATAAACCTTATGAATTATGGTGCCAGCTAACTGAAATTTAAGTGGTTAACTTAAAAGTATATTCTAGACAATTATATTTTATTCTAGACAGTCTCTGGTAGTACTACACAATATTTCTCCTATTGTTGCATATATGATATAACCATTTATGGCTCAAAACAAAGTAGCTGGAGGCAATATCCAGCAGTCACCATCTGTGACAAATCAGCCTCACCAGTTCCATTCTGCATGCAGGACCTGCAGCTGTCACAGCAGGAAATTAGTACTTCAAGGGACAATCTGAAATGAGTTTCCATACTGTCTGCCCTGATTCAGAAGCAAGTGTCCCTGCTCATTTGGGGGCTTACTTTTCATTGTGCAAGCAGTGGGGGCTGCTTGCACAGTGGACTCAGCAGGTCTGGTCACAGTGCAACAGAAGTGGGCCAAGTTTGCAGACAGTCACCATTGGATACTGCTCTGAGTTTTTTCATGTCAGCTTCACTGCACAGAGCATTGAGCCATCTCTGACCCATTATATACTGGCAGTGTAAGTTTTGTTTCTGTTACTTGCATGTAAGTGATTGGCCTGTTAAGTGAAGTGATATTTTTGCACTGATTTCTAACAAGTCCTATGTTACTTGTACTTATTCATATGAGTTAAAGGCTTAAAATTGATTTTTAAAAACTTACGGAGAATATAGGATAAAATGAAATACAGATATATATGCTACATATATATATATATATTACCATTTTAAATTTGGTTAAATCATACAGTGAAAAAATGGTTATTAATTTGCTAAATGAAGCACCCATGTTCAGAAGCAGTATACCTCTGAGTAACAGGTGCCTTTTCTAATGTGAAATTTTATTTCTTTAATGTGACACAAGGTTTTGAAACACCTTAAAGAAAGAAAGATGGTAGGATGTAGTGTAAATTGCAGCACTATAAGATCACAAATATGCTATGAAAGACCACTGCCTTGTATGCAACTCCAGTCAATGTCAAACCAGCTAAGCTAGCCAGGATGTTTAACTCTTGTATCATCTTTTCTTCCATGTCCCCGCTCCCCAGGAATGTTCAGAAAGAAGACCGTGCTCCCATGCTTGATGAGTATAGAGAATACAAGAAAGTTAAGGCCAAGTTACGGCTTCTTGAAGTCCTCATCAGCAAACAAGATTCCTCAAAATAAATATAAATTATGTTTCTTCATAACGGTGAAAGATTGTTTACTTAAGCTGTCCATAGTACTGTTAGATGTTCTCTTTTGTCTTGCGCTGTTGAAAGAATGCATTTTTTTAACATGTTATTATGGTGCCACATTTGAAAGGCAAGTAGGTTCTATCTAGAGAGCTAAGGAAAAATCTTAGAGACTGCTCTGTCCAACGTAAGCAAACAGTTTTCTGCTCATGATTTTTTGTATTACAAATGCATGTTGTTCCTGAAAGACTGTAGCACTAGAACCATTCAAAAACTGTGGACCTGCTAACTTTGTTTCCTCTGCATTTGTTAGTGTTATACTGAACTTCTCTGTTGCCTTTTCATTATGGGGAACAATGGCAGCAAATTAAGAACCCAACTGTGTTACTGATCACCAAAACTGAACTGAATGCCTTTCAGAGGACTGCTACGGAGTATCTTTGAGTTCAAATGACATTTGTCATATAATGGTTTATGATCTGTGGATATTGAAACATAAAACTCCTATTTGCTCTGCAGTTTCAGATGACGATGGACTAACCAGAAAGTGACCTTGCTTGTTGTATTTTTAAAACTTGGAAAAAACAGAACGTTTATATCACATATTGCCTACAAGACTTACATTACTGTTAATTTATCCAATTATAAATTTACTGACTAATGGTGACTTATGTATGTGGTCTCAATTAGATGTTGCATCTTATCTTTGTAGGAAGACTGTGTTGGTGCTCAGATATATACAGCTCAGTGGGCTTATGTCAGCTCTGCTGTATCTGAAATAAGCTTATCTTTTCAAGGGCTAAAATCAATAAAATAACATGACAAGGTGGACAGAGCCAGTTCTGAAAGAAGCATTTCTGCTGTTTCACAGTTGTAGAAATGAAAATGGATGCAATTTAACTTTTGTGGCATTAAACAGAGACATGGTTCTTGCATGATGAAGCTTCAGAACTGAAATATTTTGGTGATATTTACTTTGCCTAGTGTAGAAGACGCAGCACCCTTTAATGTTTCTTTAAATGTGTATCATCTGAAAGGTTCTATCCAGTCCTATCATGGTCATGATGTCTACACATAACCTGTGGGGGAGTGCCCTTTTTTATTTTGCTTCAGTGGCACATGTGCAGGCACTGCACCCTTGGGTCTGTTATTGGATCTTTGTATGTGACTGCCTCATCTGTGAGAAGACTGGATTAACCCTAAGTGTTCAAATTTGCGCCTTCTTGAATATCTTTTGTATTGTGGCCATGTTTTTGCATGTGCCTTCTTGCATGTGTTATGAACAGCTAATATCAGCGCAGATATTGTTTCTCTCTGCTTTCTGAAAGACCAAAAAAGTGAACTTCTGTGAAATGTTGCTAGCATGTAAACTCATCAGGTTGGTGTGTTAACATGGAATAGATAGAAAGTAAGATTTCAATACTTCATACTTGTCTGTTTGCTACGTCTTTCTTTTTACTGTAATTACAGGCATGTAATTTTGAAATCTTCAAAAGAGCACTAAAGTAAGTTTATATTCTGATGCTTTGCCTTTTATACAACTAGAAAGGTTTTTTTAGTGGACTGTAGTGAATTGCAAGGTTCAAAATTAAGCTGGGGATGGTTTGTGGCTTTCATTCAGCTCTATTGTGCAATGTACACTTCAATTACTTTTCTATCAGTTTGCAGACACCAGTGCATCCAAACATTGAAAACTATGTGTACTGTATAGTGTTGTACATGAATGTTTTATATACCACATGCAAAATGTCAATATGCACTATTTAAATGTTTTAAATAATATATTCCTCCTTTATAATGCTTAAATCTATATGATTCCAATATTTTTATAAAGTGAGTGATCAGACTGGTTCCACTTCAGAATTAACAGCTGCTTTTGTGTGTGTCATGCAGTGTTTGGCTGTTTGTTCAGTACAGTAGCTAGCATGGCATCAGTTATGCTAAGAGTGTGTGTTGTGCCATCTTTATTGAGCAATAAATGGTAGTGTTAGGCATTTTGTGATATAACATAGTTTTACTTTGGTATAAGTAAAAACTATATGTGGATATATAGATATATAAATATATATAAATAAACCAGATATAAATGATTGCTATGTCTGGCATTTCATTGTATAGATTTTTATAATAAAAGGATCCTTTTATTGTCATACTTCATTGTGTGATTATATTGTGTGTTCATTTCTTCCTTCTAAACAACACTTGTACTTTAAGCAAGATCCTAACAGTGCTGGTTTTATCTTCTTTTTTAAAAAGTCTCTGTTGCTTTGCTTTCGCTTGTAGTGTTGGTTTAGAAAGAGTCCCATGGTTCTAAGTCAATTAGGAAAAAACTGCATGTACTTACATTTTTATCTTTAAAAGCTGCTTTGAAAGACTTAATATGGAAATGCTTATAAATATATTCTTGCATGCTCTAATTTGTATGATGTTGCACCCTGGAAAGAGCCTACTCTATTGTGTTTGTAGAAGTTAAAGATACTTTGTTTTAACTTCTCTTGACAGCATCCATTTAAACTACTGCTTTTAAAATATGCTAGTGTTGGATCTGCTATATTTTAGCATGGTAGAACACTTTTCCAAACATGCCACAGTGCAGAATTCAGCATTTTCAATCTCTGCTTCAGTTATATGTGCAATAGCTGAAAATGTCAGAGAAGTAGCAATTTTCCAGTAGGAAGGCTCCAGTGCCTTGCATCATCATTTCTGCCCTGCATAAACTGAACTGTTCCAATTATACAGTCAAGCATTTTCTCTATTCCTGTACATAGCTTCTTTCCTGAAGTATCTGAATCACCACTGAGTACATGCAACATGCTGCTAAACTGCAATATTTGACAGTATGATATGTTCATAGCCCAGTAGGAATTTGCTTTGTTCAGTTCAAATACCTTTACATTTGGTTCCGGTTGTTGCAAAAGAGATTCTTTTCTATCCCTGAATACTGCTGTGATCATTACACTTCTAGCCAGCTTCTGGAAGTCTTAATGGACTTGACATTACCTGTCCAGCATCCACAGACGATGATGACCCTTGAACAGGTGGAAGCAGCACAGTATGCTACAGGTTCACTCCAGTTATTCTTGCAACTTTTACAGATAGACATTGACCCTGTTTACATGTAACCATGGGTTGTTTTAAGCCAAGCATGTCTCTCCTTTGCCAGGAATACCTCATTGCTGGGTTGTCAGCTGTAATGGTGACCCCAGTGTTCTGGGTTCTTAATAGTTTGTGCCAGGGTTGCTCAAAGTGGATACAAAATGGAACAGGCACACAGGCAGAAGGCAGCATGTTTAACCCATGAATTGGTATTCTGTGCAAAACAGTGGATGCAGCATTTGTCTATAGGCAGGAAATCATAGTAAGAAACCTATCAAAAACATATTTACAAATAGTTCTGTGGTATTTCCATTTACCATTCATTAAATTCCTGGACTTAATAAAAACTTATTAAAATATATATTGGGTTCTTAAGTTCCTAAACTATCACATCCTAGGGGGCTTTTTGCGGGGGAGGTTTGGTGTAGTGTCCAGACATCTTGTTTTGAAAGCAGTAAGCTGACTGACCATGGTATAGGGATACCATTTTAAATATAAATCAAAATTGAGTCTAAACTGTTGGTACACTACTAAGAATTTGGAAAACTCAAACTCCTTTAGTTTGGCTACTTTAGTTTGGATACCATGAAAATCATGGTCAAGTGCATCCTTTAAGAACCAATAGCAGGAAGTTGTGTCTTGGCTTAGAATTTAGTAGTAGTTGTTAAAGAGTGGGCATTGTGTGTGTGTGTGTTGCAGTGTTTGTTTACCATTAAATATGTCTAGGCTTTAAAGAAATGCTCACTGGACTTCCTGAACTCAGACAGTGATTTGCACCACATGAGTTATCTCTTGATTTCTGGCTGAAGACATTAATTTGCATACTTGGATGGCTTTTCCCTTCAAAATCTTGTGCATATAAGGGGCAGAACCAAAAGAACCTACCAGAACCAACCAGAAGAAAGTTTTATGCAAGACCATAATAGAAACCTGGACATAGCTGCTTACATAATCTTACTACAATCCCTTGCAACCATTAAAGCACCTCAAACCATCCTCTTAACATGTAGCAATCTACAGAGAAGGATATTGTTGACCTTTATCATGACTTTGGAACTTTTTAACATGAAGATCAAATTTCAAGCTGAATGTTAGCTGGAGGCATTTGCTTTCAGGTGACATTTGGTTGTTGGGAATGAATTGGCTATTATATATATGCACCGTATTATATTATTCTACTTCTAAATATATTTTTTTCAGGATGTGAATATAAAACAAAATAAACTTCACTATATCAACTGGCATTTCCACCCTCACCCAGCAATGGTAATCTATCAATGGAAGCCTGCATACCAAGAGCTGACAGTATAAATCTTACATCCCACACCTGCAGAAGTCATCTGTCTGCACTGCTGTTCTATTCTAAACTGAGTCCTGAATCTTTACAAAACAAATACATACACAGATACAGCAGAGCAGCCTTTCCCATCCTTGTGCCTTTCAGACATGTTTGGACTGCAGTACCCAGAATTCTCAGGCAATGGCCTGAGATGGATGGGAATTCTGGGAGTTGTGGTCCAAATGCCTCTGTAGGCCACCAGATTGGAGAAGGCTACAATAAGAGTGGTGGATTTAACAAGCAAATGGTCAAGCATGGCTTTACCAAGCATGCTGGGATTTTTCCAAAGTGAGATCCAGGGCCCAGCCAAGGTCATAAGCCAGAAGCTCAATCAGTCCAAAGGGAGAAAACAGACACCAGGAGTACCGGAAGTCCTAATACCCAGTGAAGTCAAAGAGAAAACAGGTTCTTCTCAGTCTCTGTGCATTGTCCATATGGGTGCTGCACCTGTGCAATGCCTATGTTTGGGAAGATTCTCCTAGCTAAGTGAAGAACTTTCAGTGGAAGCCCCGCCCCTCTGCTCGTAGTATAAATAGGTGGTGACCTGCCCTTTGTCAGTTTGCTTTCGACTGGTTCCACTGTGCCACGGGTTATTCCTAGCTCTTCTACTGATCTGCCTCGAACTTCTCTCAGTTTTTGTCCTGCCTAAACGATCTCCACTTTGCCCTTCTTTCTTTTCACCTTACCTCAAAACAACAAAACACCTCCCTACTATTGTCGACCTTACCTCAGCTTTCTAGTGCTTTCTCTTTTCCTTTCCCTTCATTTCTCTTCCCAATGGCACACAAGCTGGCTTTTCAGAGATGCGCAAACTGCGGGGTGAAAATACCATCCATGGCTGGCCACTCACTCTGTCTTTTGTGCCTAGGCAAGGGACACTGTTGATAAATGTCCCCATTGCCAGGTTTTCACCAAGCAGACCTGAAAAAACTGTGAAGGTCACTTGAAGATGAAGATTCGGGTCAGAGGTTTGGAACGATGCAAGGGAAGGAGCGGGCAAACCATTTGCTGTCACACAAACTGTGCCAAAATGCACCCCTTCCCCAAGCAAATCCACTTCAAAAACTTTGACTTCGACCACCATTTGGCTGACTTCCTCCAGCTCTCCTAAAATACATAAGGAGAAAAGAAAACGCATTGAGGCAAAAGAGCCCAAATGGGCTAAAAAGGTTGACAGGGATGGGTCTGAAGAAAAGAGACACCATTCGCCAAGCACTTCAGTCTCACGAACCTCACCCATACAGCCAATGACTCCTACACAGGCTTCAATTCTGGCCTCAACTCCAACTCAACTATTATCAACTAGGTCAGTACCAATTATCCAGTCCAAGCAGAGCCTCCATCCTGACAGGATTCGCACCAGGTCCAAACAGAGTCCGTTTCACCCACATCCTTCACAGAGGGAGAAATCCAAGACTCTCCAACCAGGTTGCTAATTCAACCTCTTGTCTCTGTTCCAATCTATAGCAACCCCAAGAAGAGAGGTTCAGCTACCCATCCTCCAACTCCATGACCATACAGTTTCGTGTCTCCAAACTTGTCATCAGAACTCACCCATTGTTCCATCCATACTATCAAACCAGACTCCTACCCATATTAAAGATACACATACTGGCCACCACAGTACACTGAACAGTATGAATCCAGATATCTATGGGACCCAGCAATCCCACCATACAGATACCCATGGCCACCTACTCAGACCTGACATGCTTATCCAGGACACCACCAACACTGACATAAGGACCAGTCTCAGGCCATGCCAGTGTGTCCCCCATCAAGCACAGTGCAAACTGAGGAATACAGTTCACCATCACCAACACACAGCTCCTCCTCCTCTCATATGAACTATGACTTGGAATCCAATTTACAGCTGGAGATGAAGGAACTTAATTGAACTTCATTGTCCAACTTCAATGGACAGCATCATATCCTTACAGTGCCCGAGATCACCAGGAGAGAGTTTGTGCTGATTTTCTGAATGGCCACATCACTGAGAATTCAGGCCTAGCAAATTACTGAACCTGAAGAAGACATGGTGTTATGATGTGATCCGTATGGAGGACTCTGTCCCAGTCACCCTTCCTCTCATCCCAACATTGCAAAGGGCGATGTGAGAGCCATGGGAGATGCCAAATCACCTGCATCCCACTTTATGATACCTAGAGGGGATATATAGAGTCCATGAATGGGACATTCCTTTTCTATTACACCATCCACAGCCAAATTCAGTGATTATGGAGGCTATACAGGAATGCCAGTAATGTGAACATTCTGCACTAACAGATTGCAAGGGATGCCACCTTGACATGATGGCCTGCCATATTTATTCTGCCAAGGGACTTGGCCTCCACATTTTCAACAACAAGGCCATGATGGAGAGATACCAAGTCTTCCTTTGGCAGAAAATGGAGTCTCTGGCTGCTTTTCTCTCTGGCTAACAGTGAGATGTAGCAGGAGCCTTCATCAGAGAGGCGATACATCTATCAAAACAAAATATAGCAATGGCAAGGCATCATGTCAATTGCAACTCCAGAGGACTCATTGTTGCGATCACCATGTGCAGACATGCATGGCCATGAGAAGCAAACCTCCCACAAGAAACCCAGTCAAAGATCAAAAGTATGCCTTTCAGTGGGCAAGGCCTATCCCATTCAATGACCAATGAATGCCTCAACATACTACAGAAAGTCCGAATGATGGCATGATAGATGGGTTTCGG